GGTTCAATGTGTGAAGCGCATTTCTGGAGTCCCCGTCGTGATATTGCTGGAATATTGCTAAAAGCGGCGTAAAACAATACTCAATCACCAAAAAAGAATATCTTTGAAAACGTTTGGCGCTCGCCCAAGAGAAATATTATCTCTGATACTATGAAATGACCTCGAGCATGAAGGGGTAAAATATGTCTGCTGATGTCAACAAATGGAAAGACACCATTCCATGTAATTGTTTAATTGTTTGTTTGTTTGCACTCGGAAATACTCGAGCTATATGATGGCAACCTGTAAATAATCTAGTCTTGACCATACAAACCAGTGATTGATGTTATGAGCAACTATCAACGCGACTGTTATGGAAATGGTTAAGGAAACAAAGTGCGTTTGATAACTAAAATTAGTCAAGTAACTATTTAAACATGTCAGCCAATGGTTTAGTTACGTTTCTTCATACGTCAACATGGTGTCAAAATAGGGTGAACTATGGAATCCTAGAAGGGACATTGTCGCGTTGTCTCCATCACTACAACACGCAAAAAGTGTCAAAATTAACCAGAGCGCGACAATGCGACAACGCGACATTTTGGCCATTTGTCGCATTGTCGCATTGTCTGTTAATTATCGAGTTGGGACCAGATAATCCAGTGACTGACATCATGAAATTCGATCCACGCAATTAGGATACGATAACATTCATCAACCAAGTCAGCGAGCCTGACCACCCGATCCCGTTAGTCGCCTCTTACGGCAAGCATGGGTTGGTAAAGACCTATTCTAGCCCGGATCTTCACGGGTCCTCATCCCCATATCTCATAATACAGATAATAACTTCTGCGATACGAGGAATTACCGACAGTAGGTGTGAAGTGGCCAATCAGTGTGAATCACCAATCTAGTTCCCTGGGAGACTTACCAAATATACTGAACCGCAAAAGAAACGTCACTACAAGTAACATTGCATGAAAGTTGGCATTTAAATATCTGGGTGATGTTTGTCAACGTTTCTAAAATTAATCATTACCTTGTGCGGAAAAATGAAATTTGATGATATAGAAACAAAGCAGATGACAATAAAACCGATCGCCCAAACGCATCACGGCAACAGCAATGGTTATCCGATGCACGTGAGTTCCGTGCAAATTGAAATGCACATGCGTTCCCCCATTTCTTGCCCTATGCAAATTCACCCAAATCGGAAAACATTCATTCGTTTTTGAATTGCTATCAAATGCCAAGATTGACAAGAAATGAGCGAACCAAGCCCTTGGGCGATTGCAAGCTGGACAAACCGCCCGGCAAGTAGTCAATGCATTTCAAGTCAAAGTAAGGACCATATACAGGCTCCTGCATCGGTGCCAGGTCACCAGCACTACAGATGACCGACCACGTAGTTGTAGACCAAGGGTCACCACCCAACGTCAGGGTCGTTAGATTGTGCGATAGCATCTTCAAGATCGCTTTGTTACTGCTGCGGAAACTGCTCGACAGATCATGGGGACACACCAGCGACAAATTAGTGCGGACACCGTGCGTCGGCGATTGACGAGCAGACACATCCACTGTCACAGGCCACACCTAGGACCCATTCTGACACCACGACATCGCCGGGACCGTCTTCAGTGGGTAACACAGCACTAGCATTGGCGCCACCAGCAGTGGAGAAGAGTCGTATTCTCAGACGAGAGCCGTTACTGTATCTTAACAGCAGATGGCAGAGAGAGAGAGAGAGAGAGAGAGAGAGAGAGAGAGAGAGAGAGAGAGAGAGAGAGAGAGAGAGAGAGAGAGAGAGAGAGAGAGAGAGAGGACTGGCGACGCCGTGTAGAACGTTATTCGCATGCTTGTGTTGTTGAGAGACTCGTGGGGTGGTCCGAGCATCATAGTGTGGGGTGGAATTGGTTTTGCGCAGAGGGTCGGCCCTGTGGTCTTCCAGAACATCGGTCCAGGGAGAGGCAATGGTGTCACAGCAGCTCTGTACATTGATCAAGTCTTGAGACCACACGCCATACCTCATTTGGCACGTCGCCGCAACCACGAGTTTCAGCATGATAACGCCCGTGCACACACTGTAAGAGCAACAAGAGACTTTCTCCTCAGCCCCGATTTAAATCCCATTGAGCGCCTGTGGGACGAGATTCAAAGATGGCTGAATAACGTCCGACCAAGGCCGACAACTGCAGCCGAACTGCGTCAGGTGTTCCTCAGAGTGTTGGCTCAAGTGCATATGGCATTCATCAACCGCCTCATCAACATGGCGGACTCACGAGATACCGAATTGTGATGCCATTTTCTCAGAGATTAGTGTTGTGTTTCACTTTAAGAACATTTTACACTTTAATTTCAACCTTGATGATCAGTTTTGCCAAGTTTCATCTTTTTAATATGTCTCAAAGTATGTTTTACAGTGGACAAATATGGTTTCTTATATATCTATCCATGGTGACGTTTCTTTTGCGGTTCAGTATGTAACACTTATAACATAACTCACAATAGTCACTTCCGTTATTCTAACATGTCTCTGTGTGTCACACTCATTGTGTTAACATGTCTCTGTGTGTCACATCCATTGTGTTAACATGTTTCTGTGTGTCACACTCACTGTGTTCACATGTCTCAGTGTGTAACATTCATTGTTAACATGTTTCTGGGCGTCGCACTCATTGTGTTAACAAGTCTCCCTGTATCACACTCATTGTGTTAACAAGTCTCCCTGTATCACACTCACTGTGTTAACATGTTCTCTTGTGTCACACTCACTGTGGTAACATGCTCCCTTGTGTCACACACACTGTGTAAACATGCTCCCTTGTGTCACACTGTGTTAACATGTTCCCTTGTGTCACACTCACTGTTAACATGCTCCCTTGTGTCACACTCACTGTGTTAACATGTTCCCTTGTGTCACACTCACTGTGGTAACATGTTCTCTTGTGTCACACACACTGTGTTAACATGTTCCCTTGTGTCACACTGTGTTAAAATGTTCCCTTGTGTCACACTCACTGTGGTAACATGTTCCCTTGTGTCACACACACTGTGTTAACATGTTCCTTTGTGTCTCACTGTGGTAACATGTTCCCTTGTGTCACACACACTGTTGTAACATGTTCCCTTGAGTCAAACTGATTGTGTTAACATGTTCTCTTGTGTCACACTAACTGTGGTAACATGTTCCCTTGTGTCACACACACTGTGTTAACATGCTCCCTTGTGTCACACTGTGTTAACATGTTCCCTTGTGTCACACTGAATGTGTTAACATGTTCCCTTGTGTCACACTCACTGTGGTAACATGTTCCCTTGTGTCACACACACTGTGTTAACATGTTCCCCTGTGTCACACTCACTGTGTTAACATGTTCCCTTGTGTCACACTCACTATGTTAACATGTTCCCTTGTGTCACACTCACAGTGTTAACATGTTCCCTTGTGTCACACTCACTATGTTAACATGTTCCCTTGTGTCACACTCTCTGTGTTAAGATGCTCGCTTAGGACACACTCACTGTGGTAACATGTTCCTTTGTGTCACACTCACTGTGTTAACACGTTCGCTTGTGTCACTCACTGTGTTAACATGTTCCCTTGTGTCACACTCTCTGTGTTAACATGTTCCTTTGTGTCACACTCACTGTGTTAACATGTTCCCTTGTGTCACACTCATTGTGTTAACATGCTCCCTTGTGACACACTCACTGTGTTAACATGCTCCCTTGTGACACACTCACGGTGTTAACATGTTCCCTTGTGTCACACTGTGTTAACATGTTCCCTTGTGTCACACTCACTGTGGTAACATGTTCCTTTGTGTCACACTCACTGTGGTAACATGTTCCTTTGTGTCACACTCACTGTGTTAACATGTCCCCTTGTGTCACACTCACTGTTAACATGCTCCCTTGTGTCAAACTGTGTTAACATGTTCTCTTGTGTCACACTCACTGTTAACATGCTCCCTTGTGTCACACTGTGTTAACACGTTCCCTTGTGTCACACTCACTATGTTAACATGTTCCCTTGTGTCACACTCACTGTGGTTACATGTTCCCTTGTGTCACAGTGAATGTGTTCACATGTCCCTGTGTGTTACTCTCACTTTGCAACAAGGTCACTGTGGTTAGGATGTTATGGCTCCTGGTTACATGATATGTTCGGTAGTTATTACTGTTCAAGGGAGGTTACTCTCACTTTGCAACAAGGTCACTGTGGTTAAGATGTCATGGCTCCATGTTGCATGATATGTTCGGTAGATATTACTGATGTTCTGGAGATATTAATGTACAGAATTAATATCTTAATATAAATGGTATTGGTGAAACTGTTGAAACAATGAAGGATGTACATGCCAGATACCAAATATGTAAATGATTGTAATAAATGATGTAGGAGTTAGTGAGTGAGTGAGTGAGTTTGGTTTTACTTGGCTTTTAGCATTATTCCAGCAATATCCCGATGGGGGCACCAAAAATGTACATATTGTACCGAGAATCGGTGCGACGAGCGAACGCTTTAACCCCAAAGCTAGTATATGATCACAGCTGAGACAAACAACAAAATAATAAAACAGAAATGTCCAAACATAAGTCATGTCTTACTTCACAAAAATACATGAAGACACGAGTTGAGTTGAGGTTTACATCGCCTTTAAGGTTAATACACATGGACAGTGATGTGCAAGCAGGTGTGGGTGTGGGTGTGGGTGTGGGTGTGGGTGTGGGTGTGGGTGTGGGTCTGCATGGTTAAACTTATATGGGTTATAAAGTGCTAGCCCAATGAGATACCATTCCTCAGAATTCAGAACTCTAGGCAACAACAATTTTAAATACCTCCTAACGTCGATCTGTATGACACAGCCAGAGATGGAACCTTCTACACTCCAGGCAGACACTCTCTTCACAAGACCATGGAGGCCGTTTCAGTTTCACAAGTATTGTGATTTGAGGAAGATGTCATAAGGTATATTTGTTCATTCCATGACAGAGGCTAAAATACAACTAAGAGAACCTCAGTTTCAATATGTTTGTATTGCATATCCACATCATCAATGTATTTACAAATGTCAGTGAGTGTCACATCATTGCATGTATACAGCTGTACAGATACCTCCTCGACTTTACATCCAATTAATGTAACCAACAAAAACTCTTCATTCATTGGTGTCAATGATCCAGCCCCGAGTCCTCCAAATGTGGTACAAGATGATGTACACTGAATGGTGTAAACGAGCCCACCACACCATGCTGGACCCCCTGTGTGTTTACAGGGGGATCACTATGTCTGCATGTTCAGCAGTCCCTTGTTTGTTGATTAATGTCGCACTCAACAATATTTCAGCTACACAACAGCGGCCTATAAATACTCGAGTCTGATTGACACATGGTCCACGTTGTTGGGACCACTTTTACACGAACTCAACAAAGTCACATATATACACCACCCACACCACATGGATCAGCATATATACCACCACACCACAAGGTTCAGCATATACACCACCCACACCACAAGGTTCAGCATATATACCACCACACCATGTGGATCAGCATATACACCACCCACACCACAAGGTTCAGCATATATACCACCACACTACGTGGATCAGCATATATACCACCACACCACGTGGATCAGCATAAACACCACCACACCACGGGGATCAGCATAAACACCACCACACCACGTGGATCAGCATAAACACCACCACACCACGTGGATCAGCATAAACACCACCCACACCACAAGGTTCAGCATATATACCACCACACCACGTGGATCAGCATATACACCACCACACCACGTGGATCAGCATAAACACCACCCACACCACAAGGTTCAGCATATATACCACCACACTACGTGGATCAGCATATATACCACCAACACCACGGGGATCAGCATAAACACCACCACACCACGTGGATCAGCATAAACACCACCACACCACGTGGATCAGCATAAACACCACCCACACCACAAGGTTCAGCATATATACCACCACACTACGTGGATCAGCATATATACCACCAACACCACGGGGATCAGCATAAACACCACCACACCACGTGGATCAGCATAAACACCACCACACCACGTGGATCAGCATAAACACCACCCACCCCACAAGGTTCAGCATATATACCACCACACTACGTGGATCAGCATATATACCACCAACACCACGGGGATCGCCATATACAGCACCAACACCATGCGTTCAGCATATACACCACCCACACCATGGGGTCAGCATGTACAGGTAGATGGCCTGAGTGACTGTAGCCACTCTGTCAGTGTCTGGGTTGGTTGGTTGGTTTGTTGTTTAACGCCGCACTCAGCAATATTACAGCTATATGACAGCAGTCTGTAAAAAATTGAGTCTGGACCAGACAATCCAGTGATTAATATCTTGAGCATCGATCCACGCACTTGGGATTGATGACATGCATCAACCAAGTCAGCGAGTCTGACCACCCGATCCCGTTAGTCGCCTTTTACGGCAAGCATAGTCGCCTTTTACTGTCTGGGAGCCCCATGTCACTGTCCCTGAGTCTGGCTGCTACATTCAGTGTTCATTTCTTCCCTTTCCTTCCTCCTTTGTGTTTGCTGCCTCCCTTCTTCGCCTTCCGTTTCTCAGCACGCTTTTCTTTCTTCATGCGTCTGTCAACGACCTTGTAGATGCCGCTGACCCCTGACGGCCGTGTGGGACGCTTGCCCCCTCCCTTTTTGGCCACCACGTAGGTCACCTCCTTCTTCTTCTTGTACAGCAGACCCGCCTTCTTGTAGATCCTGGAACAGACACACAGTAATGTCCTTCTGCATATGGATTTGGTTGGTTGGTTTGTTGTTTAACGTCACACTCAACAATATTCCAGCTATATGGTGGGAGTCTGTAAATAAAAGTCTTGACCAGACAACCCCCTGATTTTCTGCACATGGAGACGTTTGTGAACATCAACTAGACCTGATAGAAACATTGTGTTAGAGAGTAAACCATCAACTAGACTTGATGTAGTCATTGTGTTAGAGAGTAAACTATCAACTAGATTTGTTGGAGACAATGTATTAGAGAGTAAACTATCAACAAGACTTGATGGAAACAATGTGTTAGAGAGTAAACTATCAACTAGACTTGATGGAGTCATTGTGATAGAGAGTTAACTAAAAACTAGACTTGATGGAGACAAATTTGTTAGAGAGTAAACTATCAACTAGACTTGATGGAGACATTGAGTTAGAGAGTAAACTATCAACTAGACTTGATGGAGACAATGTGTTAGAGAGTAAACTATCAACTATACTTGATGGAAACATTGTGTTAGAGAGTAAACTATCAACAAGACTTGAAGGAAACATTTTGTTAGAGTATACTGACTGTTTGATCTGCTGCCATTTCTCCTTGTCAGAGACTTCTGTTGAGTCGGTGACAACCTCTGCCCGCTTCCGAGCCCGGTCCAGCCTCCTCACTTCCTGTACACCAAACAACACACCTCACATAGAAGACAGACATTGTCAGGAGAAATGTGTATCCTTCATTTGTTCTGATCAGTCATCATCAGTCAAAAATAAATAAAAGATATACATAAAGTTCAGTGTAGATAAATCAGTAAACCTTTAAAGCACACAGAATAGCCATACTGCATAAGAATGTAATGTGAATGATTATTATTACTTAGTGGATCTCAGTTTGGCAAACATGAATTAAAAGCAAATGCTAGTTTTAACCAAACTATCACTTTCAAAGAATGCATACCTTCTTCTTCTTTCTTGCCTTTGCCTCTGCAACCTTTTTGATGGGTCTTGCATCCACTGACTTTAGCTTGTCCCGGTACTCCTGAATGTCTCCCTGAAGTCATTAACGAAGTCATGGATCAGGAGGTCAAGTAAGGAAGTGGTCACATGTACATGTACCAGACACCCTAATTCCCCTGACAAAGTAGTCCTAGGTCAGGTGGTCACATGTATATGTACCAGACACCCTCATTCCCCTGACAAAGTAGTCCTAGGTCAGGTGGTCACATGTATATGTACCAGACACCCTCATTCCCCTGACAAAGTAGTCCTAGGTCAGGTGGTCACATGTATGTACCAGACACCCTCATTCCCTTGACAAAGTAGTCAAACATCACCCAGGCCATTACATGTATTACCATCATACCTTGGTGACTGGCAGTTGGATCCGGCTGTGTCTACTTTCATCCTTCACAAACCAGTCGGGCAAACCATCATCATCAAACATGTACCTGCAACAGCCAAAAGATGCAGCTCAACCACGTGCAGTCATCATCCTGTTTGTTTGTTTGTTGTTTAACACCGTACTCAGCAATATTCAAGCTATATGACAGCAAATTTACTCAGACTGTAGTACTGTGAGAGTGAAATAGCGTAAACACCAACAATTATACAATGAATCTATACACCGCTGAAATCAGACATTCACAAATGTATTCATTTGATAACTTCCCATTTCCATGGACGATGAAATGTGTCATCAGTTTCTAAAAACTTCATGGATGTGTGTCCAGAGAGTCTGCAACATCTACTGACCTGTGGTAAGCGTTGTCTATAATGTCTCTCTTCCTCTTGCGGGACTGGGCCAGAGCTGAACCAAGAGCCATGCCTACTGCATCCAGCTTGTCTGTGGCAACACAAACGAACGTTCACATCAGCCATGTGGGAAGTGGAGTGAGTGAGTGAGTGGAGTGGAGTGGAGTGGAGTGGAGTGGAGTGGAGTGGAGTGGAGTGGAGTGGAGTGGAGTGAGTGAGTGATGTTTTTATTCCGCTTTTAGCAATACTCCAGCAATATCACGGTGGTGAAATAGGCTGTTTTGCTACCATATTTTCTTGAGAAAAATGCGCACCCCCCTCTGGCGGATTCAGTAGTTTGGAAAAAACAAACTTTCTGCGAATATTATGCTCATTCTGGTAAATGGACGGGTGATAAGAAACTTGGAGAGTACAAATTTGAAATTTGAGACAAAAAAATCACCAGACATGATGATTTACTGTTTAAAATGTACTTATGTATCCAAAGGGCTGGTAGATTTTTTAACATTTTAGGGGTGTTCTTATATGTTATCATTATTAGCATGATTAGGGCTTGTAGACTGTGAAGGGAGATTTCTATCCCTGTGTTTTGTTTGTTTGTTGTTTAACGCCGCCCTCAGCAATATTCCAGCTATATGACAGCAGTCTGTAAATAATCGAGTCTGGACCAGACTATCCAGTGATTGATATCATGAGCATCAATCCACGCAATTGGGATCGATGACATGCATCAACAAAGTCAGCGAGCCTGACCACCCGATCCCGTTTGTCGCCTTTTACGGCAAGCATGGGTTGCTGAAGACCTATTCTACCCCGGAATCTTCACGGGTCTTCTATCCCTGTGAACCAATGGTTGATGTACCAGTTCTTTGAAGCTATTATAGTTATAGCGTTTTTTGGCAATCAGTGGCTGCAGGCCTTCTTAGTTGTCTGACTAGATTGCACCTCAGATGAGATGAGATTGGGATTAATGTCATGTTCAAAATTATTGCACTTCTATGGCGATGTGCATGCACATGTGTGGCTGCTTGTACTTGTATGGACTTAGGCTTGTTCTATAGTGCTAGCCCACTGAGATACCATGCCACAGTTTAACACGAATACCCCACTCAGACACAGTAGATTGCTGATCAGTTCTTGTTTTATTCCCTTAAAGCCGAGCGCCATCCAATTCATTTGGCATAACACAGCCAGTGTAGTGAACCACCGACCTCCCACTCTCTGGGGAGACACTCTGTACACTACACCATGGAGACACTCTAAACCTAAGCTGATAAACTCTCCTTCATAACTTACAGCATTAATTCACTCTGGAGATTTCATCAGTAATTCTTGCTCAACTAATTTACTTCACATGTAGACATGTTTGTTTGTTGTTTAACGCCGCACTCAGCAATATTCCACCTACATGACAGCGGTCTGTAAATAATCAATTCAGGACCAGACAATCCACTGATTGACATCATGAGCATTCATCTACACAACTGCGATACAATGTCAAGCATCATCCAAGTCAGCGAGCCAGTTAGTCACCTCTTATGATAAGTGTGAGTGAGTGAGTGAGTTTGATTTTACGCCGCTTTTAGCAATATTCAAGCAATATCACGGCGGGGGACACCAGAAATGGGCTTCACACATTGTACCCATGTTGGGAATCGAACCCGGGTCTTCGGCGTGACGAGCGAACGCTTTAACCACTAGGCTACCCGACCGCCCCTCTTATGATAAGCATAGTTTTGACATGTACACAATATAGGAAGAATGATACAAGCTGATCCTGTGGACCCACTTTCTCCCTACACCAGAAGGGTCCAACATGCAAACAACATTCCCATGGCACACATGTACTGAACAAAGTTAGGGATAAAGAATATTTTGGGGATTTTTTTTGCAGTGATGACTGAGCACACAATTTCATATTTCGCCTTCATCCCTATCAGCTGCCTATACTTTTCATCTTCCCGAGTCAAGGGGGTTAGGACTATAAAAGTCCAGAGTCGATCCTTGCTGGCCTAGCCTGGAATAATGGAGTTTTAGTTTGGCTGGACTAACAAGTCTATGCATAGTCCAATCAAAATCGCATAACTGAATCAACATCCAGTTTGTAAACTTCAATGCAGATTTCAGTTGATTGCACAATTTGCAATGCCATGTGTACCGTCAACTTAGCATCAACAGATACTTTGCAAATCTTTTCTTGTTCATAATGAAGGTACTCACGTGATATTACAGTACAGATCACGATTATCGATCAGATCATCTTCACTGGGCACATCCATTTTGTTTGAAGCAAATGCAAGTAATATGAGAGGTGGAATCTGATTGGTCAGTAGGAGGGACATTGCAGGGACATAACTTGTAATAGCCACTTGTAGTACTACGATCGAGCCCAGAAATTCCAGCTTAGTTTGGCAAGGATGGAAACTGGACTTTCGTGGTCAGTTAACTCCCTTGCCTCAGGAAGATGATCCTGTTTAAGTTCAGTATAGTTAAGTACAAAGTCATGGTGCACCCACGTGTCTCTAATGTACCTTCTGGTAACTTGGGTATATTCAAATCTGAACAAGTATGAACCCGATTAAGGCAATTCTCAAGGGAACCAGAAGCAAGGTGAAGGACACTGATGTGTAGATACAAACACTAGCTATTATCAATACACACTGGCAAGGTGAAGGACACTGATGTGTAGATACAAACACTAGCTATTATCAATACACACTGGCAAGGTGAAGGACACTGATTTGCAGAGATGTTTTTTGACTGACATTTTCACAAATGTGAGTGAGTTTGTTGGGTTGAACATTGCTTTTAATAGTATTCCAGTTATATCACTGCATTCAGCATAATGTGGGAGGAAAGTTCACAATAAGGTTGAGTGTGTCAATGTGAGGGGATAGGAATGGTTATCAACAGCTTATCACAGGATTTCAAGGAGATGACAAATATATTTCCATTTTCTCCGGGTTAATTGATATTACTTTTCCACTAGAGGTTTGGGAAAGACAACAGTACGTCTGGGATAACACCTAATGCTACCTGCCTGTATTTGCAGAGGGCACAATTTCAAAACCATCTTTGTTATCACGGCTCTGCTTCTTGTTGCTTGGAGCTTCCTGATGGCCGGGACCCGCTTGCAGTTCCATTGTGTCGTAGTCACTGCCGGAGTCGGAGTCGGTGTCGGAGTCATCATCATCATCATCGTCGTCGTCTTCGTCATGGTCTTCTTTAACAGCAGGGGCCTTCTTCTTGTGTGGTGTCTTCTCAGTAGACTTGTCTGTTTAGAACAACCATTACAATGAGACAATGAGTGAGTGAGTGAGTGAGTGAGTGAGTGAGTGAGTGAGTGAGTGAGAGAGTTTGATTTAAAGTGAACTTTGAACAGTATTTCAGTCATGTCACGGCATGTCAGCTTAATGTGGGAGGAAAGCCCGAAGTGATGACGGTCTTTGAGGTTTACCTTGGTGAAAACCCCGAGCACAGGTATGGTGCTGACAAACCTAGAAACACAATGGGGGTGAACTGGGATTCGAACCCGCATTCTGCACAGCGAATTCCAGCGCCTTAAACGACTGTGCAATCCCTGTCCTCCACCAAACACATGACTATCCAAGTGACATGTATAGCTAGGTGGCAACTGAACCAGTCACTCAGAACATGTTTGTTGTTAGTTTGTTGTTCAATGCCACTCAGCAATATTCTAGCTTCATAAAAAATGGCCCGTGAAGAAGAGTCTGGATCAGACAAACCAGTGGTTGATATTATAAGCATCATTGAGCATCATGAGCAATTGGAGTAAAATGACACGCTATCAACTAAGTCATCCCGTCTGACAACCCAATCCATCAAGTCTCCTTTGGAGGAAAGCAAAAGTTGCAGGGGAACAGTTCTAAACTGGAATCCCTGATCACCACACAGGCTTCAACCATTAAATAGGGAACTGTATTTACATCATCCTTCTTCCATGAGGAACATATACGAACACTGAAATGCTACCCTTTCAGGTCGGTCAGCATTTGTTTCAAAGTACTGGACAGTGAAAGCTTGTTCCACAAGCTTCATGGTGCAAGGTACATTAAGATGCAGTCGTGCAGGGCTCTATGTCTCAAGCCAGGTACCTGTGATCTGTCCTCCCTTGCTCCTGTACCTATCAGCTATCTTCTCGATCTCCGCATCTTCGTCTGCGTCATCTTCTATGTCAGCAAAGGCACTCTGAAGTAAAAAGCAGACATGATCATGTTTCCTTCAATATCCATGATCTAACAACAACACTTTTTACCAATTACCTTCACCTAAACTCTTGCTCCCAGTCAGGTCACACCCTTACCTAATACGCCCCCACCCAGGGCCTGCCCTCACCTCATTCAGGCCCCACCCTCACCTCATCCCTCCCACTCAGGCCCCACCTTCACCTCATCCCTCCCACTCAGGCCCCACCCTAACCTCATCCCTCCCACTGAGGCCCCGCCTTCACCTCATCCCTCCCACTCAGGCCCCACCCTCACCTCATCCTCCCCACTCAGGCCCCACCCTCATCCTCTCCCACTCAGACCCCACCCTCACTTCATCCTCCCCACTCAGGTCCCACCCTCCCCTTTCCTCCCCACTCAGGCCCCGCCTTCACCTCATCCCTCCCACTCAGGCCCCGCCTTCACCTCATCCCTCCCACTCAGGCCCCGCCTTCACCTCATCCCTCCAACTCAGGCCCCGCCTTCACCTCATCCCTCCCACTCAGGCCCCGCCTTCACCTCATCCCTCCCACTCAGGCCCCGCCTTCACCTCATCCCTCCCACTCAGGCCACACCCTCATCCTCTCCCACTCAGGCACTGCTCTCTCTTCATCCTCCCCACTCGGGGCCCCAGCCTCATCCTCTGCCACTCAGGCCCCACCCTCATCCTCTCCCACTCAGGCCCTGCTCTCTCTCTTCATCCTCTCCCACTCAGGCCCCACCCTCATCCCTCCCACTCAGGCCCCACCTTCACCTCATCCCTCCCACTCAGGCCCCGCCTTCACCTCATCCCTCCCACTCAGGCCCCGCCTTCACCTCATCCCTCCCCTCAGGCCCCGCCTTCACCTCATCCCTCCCACTCAGGCCCCACCTTCACCTCATCCCTCCCACTCAGGCCCCACCCTAACCTCATCCCTCCCACTCAGGCCACACCCTCATCCTCTGCCACTCAGGCCCCACCCTAGCCTTATCCCTCCCACTCAGGCACTGCTCTCTCCTCATCCTCCCCACTCGGGCCCCACCCTCATCCTCCCCACTCAGGCCCCACCCTCATCCCTCCCACTCAGGCCCCACCCTAACCTCATCCCTCCCACTCAGGCCCCACCCTAACCTCATCCCTCCCACTCAGGCCACACCCTCATCCTCTGCCACTCAGGCCCCACCCTAGCCTTATCCCTCCCACTCAGGCACTGCTCTCTCCTCATCCTCCCCACTCGGGCCCCACCCTCATCCTCTCCCACTAAGGCACTGCTCTCTTTCTTCATCCTCCCCACTCGGGCCCCTGCCTCATCCTCTCCCACTCGGGCCCCACCCTCGCCTTATCCCTCCCACTCAGGCACTGCTCTTTCTTCATCCTCCCCACTCAGGCCCCACCCTCATCCTCTCCCACTTGGGCCCCACCCTCATCCCTCCCACTCAGGCCCCACCCTCACCTTATCCCTCCCACTCAGGCACTGCTCTCTCCTCATCCTCCCCACTCGGGCCCCACCCTCATCCTCTCCCACTCAGGCCCCACCCTCATCCTCTCCCACTCAGGCACTGCTCTCTCTCTTCATCCTCCCCACTCGGGCCCCGGCCTCATCCTCTCCCACTCAGGCCCCACCCTCATCCTCTCCCACTCAGGCCCCACCCTCGCCTTATCCCTCCTACTCAGGCATTGCTCTTTCTTCATCCTCCCCACTCAGGCCCCACCCTCATCCTCTCCACTCGGGCCCCACCCTCATCCTCTCCCACTCAGGCACTGCTCTCTATCTTCATCCTCCCCACTCGGGCCCCACCCTCATCCTCTCCCACTCAGGCCCCACCCTCATCCTCTCCCACTCAGGCACTGCTCGCTATCTTCATCCTCCCCACTCGGGCCCCACCCTCATCCTCTCCCACTCAGGCCCCACCCTCATCCCTCCCACTCAGGCCCAACCCTCGCCTTATCCCTCCCACTTAGGTCCCACCCTCATCCTCTCCCACTCAGGCACTGCTCTCTCTTCATCCTCCCCACTCAGGCCCCACCCTCACTCAGGCCCCGCCCTCACTTCATCCAACCCACTCAGGCCCCGCCCTCACTTCACCCACCCCACTCAGGCCCCACCCTCACCTCATATACCCTCCATGCTGAACCAGGTGTTGAGCCAGCCCGCGGTACCCACGGAGTCGCCTACCATGCTGAACCAGGTGTTGGTCCACCCTGCTGTACCCACGGAGTCACCTACCTTGCTGAACCAGGAGTTGGTCCTATTGCTGGTCTTCACCCCTGGCTTCTGCAAGTCCACCAGGAGAGGGTTGTGTTCTCCTTCTTCCCTGCACACAAATACACAAGTGTCTAGACAAGTCAGGGGATACGGCAGGCATACACTATACAGCATATGAAACATAAATTCTTTAGTTTAACTGGCTTCCAGCAAAGCACAACCCACACAATACCTAAATATGCTAAACTGACAATTGATAAGAAATCAAAGCGATGACACCTATAAGAAATCAAAGTGATGACATCTGTATGAAATCAAAGCGATGACATCAATATGAAATCAGAGCGATGACATCTATATGAAATCAGAGCGATTACATATGAAATCAGAGCGATGACATCATATGAAATCAGAGCGATGACATTATATGAAATCAGAGCGATGACATCTGTATGAAATCAGAGCGATGACATCTGTATGAAATCAGAGCGATGACATTATATGAAATCAGAGCGATGACATCTGTATGAAATCAGAGCGATGACATCTGTATGAGATCAGAGCGATGACATCTGTATGAAATCAGGGTGATGACATCTGTATGAAACTTATGAGCTATAACAACATAGCACTATGATCAAATGTACATTATCATTTCAGATGGTTCATACTTTGACCTTCAATGTCATACAATCATTCAGGGGGCTGCTAAATGGCATTATGACACCGTAGCACAGAGATCCCCTTGTACCCAGTACTATTCTCACAGAGGAAACCTACACATCTGCACTAGGTCCGGGCCGGTCGTCATCCTGCAGGTCAGGGTCTGAGTCATACTCCTCCTCTGAAGCGTCCTCCCTCTCCAGGTAGTCCTTGGTGTGTCGGTCATACGACAATGTCCGGCGCTTAGCGGGCGGAGGCAGTGGGTCATCGTCCCACTCCAGCTCCTCCTCTTGCATCGCCTGGTCATCCTCATCCACAGCCTTCAGGTGCTGGAACACAAGCATCAGAAATATAACCCTTCATCAGAGGTACTCTGGTTGCCGGCTGGCCATCTAACACCCAAATGTTCTTTTGCATTGTCAATTACAGTCATCAAGTCTGCATACTCAGCATCACTATTGAAGGGGCACATAGAATATAAGAGATAAAAGTATTAAAAAAATGTTGTATTTCAACTTCCAAGAGTGCAGTTCAGTTGCATATTGAATGAATCATTTTACACCCATATTCACATTGACTGTTATTTGCTTTGCACATGCATGGGCTTAACCGCTGACTGCGTTCAGTGCGTGATTTGGGAAGCTTTTTTCGTCAGGTTCAATCTTGCACTTTTCACCATATAAATACTAGTAGTCGTCCACTTTTCCAATTTCATAAAAGCACCCAATCAGTGTAACAAAGGCACAAACATCAACTGTTAATCACTTTGTCAACATTCTCAGGCCGAGCTACTGACACTTGATGACCTCTGTCCATGTTTGACACCCTACATACCTCGATGACCCTTCGATAATGACACCGAGTATATTAATATTCTGAACCATAATATTTTCCCATCCAATACATAAAGTTATTAATGTGGCATGTCTAGTTTTCCCTCTGGTTCTCAATTTCCCATTTCACTGTGGCCCCTTTTCAATTTAAATGGAGCTAATTGTTTCTCTATCAAGATGACATATTTTTAGAAACAGACACACACAAATATACACACAAATGAAACCAGTTATAGTTAGACACATGTATGTGAAGCCTCTGTGTGTGTGCGCGTGCATGCACATGTGCATGTGCGTGTGCATGTGCGTACTAATGCCGATTTATTGTGCCAGCCCACTGAGATACCATGCCGCAGTTTAACATGAATATCCCACTAAGACAAGTACCAACTTTTAACATCTTTTGGTATGACGTGGCCAGGGATCACACCCCCGACCTACAACTCTCCGGCGGACACTCCCACTAGACCACGGAGGCTTGTTGCTAGTTTGTTGTTTAACGCCGCACTCAGCAAAATTACAGCTATATGACGGCGGTCTGTAAATAATCGAGTCTGGACCAGACAATCCAGTGATTGATATCATGAGCATTGATAAATGCAATTGGGATACGATGATATGAATCAACCAAGTCAGCGAGCCTGACCACCCGATTCCATTAGTCTCCTCCTATAACAAGCATAGTTGCCTTTTACAGCAAAAATGGGTTGCTGAAGACCTATTCTATCCCAGACCAGTTGTTGTGGTGGAGTGAGTGTAAGTAATGGTACCTACAAGGGATTATAAATGTGCACATACTCCAGATGAAATGAGTAGTTGATGGATGTTTATACAGGGAAGGAAAAGTGAATGCCCCCTCAGTGGGGAGGACTCCCTGATCATGATGCATCTCAACTCCCCGAACTACTCAGTCAGAATAGTTACTGATAATTGCTCAGCTCTCACGCCCCACATGCTGACAATGTTGGCGGTACACATGGTACAGGCTGTGATTCCTCGCACCAACATGACCACAGAGACACCTACCTTCTTGTTCTTTATCTTCTTTAAATCAAATATGTCCACATCATCAGTAATGTCTGGTTTGTCATTGGGCAGAACCATTTTCATATCCATCTTGTGTCGCAACTTGGTCTTCTCTCGACGTATCTTCTTCAACTTCCTACAGTGACAAACATACTGAGTGAAAACATCCCACAAACACACATACAGAGTGAAAACATCCCACAAAGACACACATACAGAGTGAAAACATCCCACAAAGACACACATACAGAGTGAAAACATCCCACAAACACACATACAGAGTGAAAACATCCCACAGACACACATACAGAGTGAAAACATCCCACAAACACACATACAGAGTGAAAACATCCAAAAAAAACACACATACAGAGTGAAAACATCCCACAAAGACACACATACAGAGTGAAAACATCCCACAAAGACACATATACAGAGTGAAAACACCCCACAGACACACATACAGAGTGAAAACATCCCACAAAGACACACATACTGAGTGAAAACACCCGGCAGACACACATACTGAGTGAAAACATCCTGCACAAAGACACACATACCGAGTGAAAACATCCCACAAATGTTGCTGAGTTAGTGAGGGGCTGTTGCTGAGTTAGTGAGGGGCTGTTGCTGAGTTAGTGAGGGGCTGTTGCTGAGTTAGTGAGGGGCTGTTGCTGAGTTAGTGAGGGGCTGTTGCTGAGTTAGCGAGGGGCTGTGGCTGAGTTAGTGAGGGGCTGTTGCTGAGTTAGCGAGGGGCTGGGGCTGAGTTAGTGAGGGGCTGTTGCTGAGTTAGCGAGGGGCTGGGGCTGAGTTAGTGAGGGGCTGGGGCTGAGTTAGTGAGGGGCTGGGGCTGAGTTAGTGAGGGGCTGTTGCTGAGTTAGTGAGGGGCTGGTGCTGAGTTAGTGAGGGGCTGTTGCTGAGTTAGCGAGGGGCTGTGGCTGAGTTAGCGAGGGGCTGTTGCTGAGTGAGTGAGGGGCTTGGGCTGAGTTAGTGAGGGGCTGTTGCTGAGTTAGCGAGGGGCTGTGGCTGAGTTAGCTAGGGGCTGTTGCTGAGTGAGTGAGGGGCTGTTGCTGATGTAGTGAGGGGCTGTTGCTGAGTTAGTGAGGGGCTGCTGCTGAGTTAGCGAGGGGCTGTTGCTGAGTTAGTGAGGGGCTGTGGCTGAGTTAGTGAGGGGCTGGTGCTGAGTTATTGAGGACTGTGTTTACCTCTTGAGGGCCTTCCGCTCATCATCCTCCATCTGCACCAGCTGCTTCTCCACCTCCAGGTCCTCTTCATCACTAGGTTCAGCATCATCCTTGCTGCCATCAGGTCTGTCAACAGAACTTTCTGATATTACACAACCAACATAGCAGACCTCACTTTATCACACAAGCAATATAGCAGGTCTAGATTTGTTACACAACCAAAACAGTAGATTTGTTAGGTCCCCATAGGGTACATTTTTAAATTTGTTGGATCTTGTTTGTTGTTTGATGTCGCACTCACCAATTCAAAATGATGGCGGTTCGTAAATAATCGAGTTTAGACCTGAAAATCCAGTGATTGATATCCTCAGGATCGATTCTTAGATGGACCGACTAAGCTGATGTAATACTGTAGAGATTATTGTATACAAAAACAAGCAGGAATATATACTATACAAAAATATATACTATGCAAACACTGGCCCCTTGGACCCCCCCCTCGCTGAAATTGAGGATTTTACATGAAACAGACAACTTTGGAAACCATGATCACCTGTCTGCATCTGCTGCGTCCTCAGTGATGGCAACAGCCTCTACGCCCAGCTCCTCTCGCAGCTTCTTCCGCCACGTCAGCAAGCCCCTGCAACAACAGACGGGAATTACAACCTGCACCAACCATTCAACACTCGGTCTCGTTATAAAAGTATACATACATGTGTTTACAATGATGACCAGAACTTTGATGACCATAACAATACTACAGCCATGTCTTACTTGATGTCCCTGCCCAGTCAATTATCAACATAACAATACTACAGCCATGTCTTACTTGATGTCCCTGCCCAGTCAATTATCAACATAACAATACTACAGCCATGTCTTACTTGATGTCCCTGCCCAGTCAATTATCAACATAACAATACTACAGCCATGTCTTACTTGATGTCCCTGCCCAGTCAATTATCAACATAACAATACTACAGCCATGTCTTACTTGATGTCCCTGCCCAGTCAATTATCAACATAACAATACTACAGACATGTCTTACTTGATGTCCCTGCCCAGTCAATTATCAACATAACAATACTACAGACATGTCTTACTTGATGTCCCTGCACAGTCAATTATCAACATAACAATACTACAGACATGTCTTACTTGATGTCCCTGCACAGCCAATTATCAACATAACAATACTACAGACATGTCTTACTTGATGTCCCTGCCCAGTCAATTATCAACATAACAATACTACAGACATGTCTTACTTGATGTCCCTGCCCAGCCAATTATCAACATAACAATACTACAGACATGTCTTACTTGATGTCCCTGCACAGTCAATTATCAACATAACAATACTACAGACATGTCTTACTTGATGTCCCTGCACAGCCAATTATCAACATAACAATACTACAGCCATGTCTTACTTGATGTCCCTGCCCAGCCAATTATCAACATAACAATACTACAGCCATGTCTTACTTGATGTCCCTGCCCAGTCAATTATCAACATAACAATACTACAGCCATGTCTTACTTGATGTCCCTGCCCAGTCAATTATCAACATAACAATACTACAGCCATGTCTTACTTGATGTCCCTGCACAGCCAATTATCAACATAACAATACTACAGACATGTCTTACTTGATGTCCCTGCCCAGTCAATTATCAACATAACAATACTACAGCCATGTCTTACTTGATGTCCCTACAGAGCCAATTATCAACATAACAATACACCAGACATGTCTTACTTGATGTCCCTGCCCAGCCAATTATCAACATAACAATACTACAGACATGTCTTACTTGATGTCCCTGCCCAGTCAATTATCAACATAACAATACTACAGACATGTCTTACTTGATGTCCCTGCCCAGTCAATTATCAACATAACAATACTACAGCCATGTCTTACTTGATGTCCCTGCCCAGCCAATTATCAACATAACAATACTACAGACATGTCTTACTTGATGTCCCTGCCCAGCCAATTATCAACATAACAATACTACAGACATGTCTTACTTGATGTCCCTGCCCAGTCAATTATCAACATAACAATACTACAGACATGTCTTACTTGATGTCCCTGCCCAGTCAATTATCAACATAACAATACTACAGCCATGTCTTACTTGATGTCCCTGCCCAGCCAATTATCAACATAACAATACTACAGACATGTCTTACTTGATGTCCCTACACAGCCAATTATCAACATAACAATACTACAGACATGTCTTACTTGATGTCCCTGCACAGCCAATTATCAACATAACAATACTACAGACATGTCTTACTTGATGTCCCTGCCCAGTCAATTATCAACATAACAATACTACAGACATGTCTTACTTGATGTCCCTGCACAGCCAATTATCAACATAACAATACTACAGACATGTCTTACTTGATGTCCCTGCCCAGTCAATTATCAACATAACAATACTACAGACATGTCTTACTTGATGTCCCTGCAAAGCCAATTATCAACATAACAATACACCAGACATGACTTACTTGATGTCCCTGCACAGCCAATTATCAACATAACAGTACACCAGACATGTCTTACTTGATGTCTTTCTTGCCCAAAACTTTGATGTCCTTCAGACATTCCTTCATCTCTGGTGTGGTCAGACGGTGGTTCGTGATCCGCTCCTCATCAAGTGTGACCTGTCACAAAGTCATTACACAGACTGTCACACCCAACACACTTGACTGAATGGACGGATGGATAGTTTGATAGGTATTACTTAGAAGTTGATGGATGACAAAGTAGACATGCTTGATGGATAACAACTTCTTGAATATTGTGAAGGCGACGTTTTGGTATAGATCCTTATACACTTGCCAAACAGTAAATAATTATCCATAAATTGTGTCTACTTTGTGAATGGATGGAATTACAATCATTCAACAGGGATGGAAATGAATGCTTGTACATGGGTCCAAGGCTAGTAGGAATTACCTTGGGCCAGCATAATTATAATACTAGCTGTAGGGTCTGTGAGTTTTCTTACACATAAATTATATATCATCCTCATGATTCTCGTGAAGGTGAGGTGAGGTGAGGTGAGGTGAGGTGAGGTGAGGTGAGGTGAGGTAAAATTGGGTTTAACGTTGAATTCAAGAATATTATTGCACTTATATAGCAACATGTGCGTGCGTGCTTATACTATCTACGACCAATGCCCATTTTGTAGTGCTAGCTCAGTGAGATAACATGCCACAGTGTAACATGAATATATCCCATTCAGACACAGTATACTAAATATGAGCCGACCTTGTTTGAGCCCCTAAATGCCGGGCGCCAGGCAGGGCAACAACAAGTACCATCTTTCAACGTCTTTTGGTATGATGCACTCGGTGATAGAACCCCCAAACTTCCGCTCCCTGGGGAGACGCTCTACCACTAAGACACAATGGCGGTGCCCCCCTGTGAAATCGGGGCGGTCATTGGTCTGAGCGCTTCCTGCTCACTGGAACCAGTCCATGGCTGGACTCGTCGGTTAATACTGATGACTATACAACAAAGTAGCTGTATGTATTCTTGGGTGATGGGACCAGGGAAGATCTGGGGCAGAATAGGTCTTCAGCAACACATGCTTGCTGTGAAAGGCTTGCTGACTGGATTTATCTATGTCATCGTATCCCAATTGTGGATCAATGTGCATGATGTCACACTGGATTGTCTGGTCGAGACTCAATCATTTACAGTGAGTGAGTGAGTGAGTATGTTTTACGCCGCTTTTAGCAATATTCTAGCAATATCACGGCGGGGGACAACAGAAATTGGCTTCACACATTGTACCCATGTCGGGAATCGAACCCGGGTCTTCGGCGTAACGAGCAAACGCTTTAATCACTAGGCTACCCGAGCGCCCCCAATTATATACAGACTGCTGTCATATAGCTGGAATACTGCTGAGAGCGGCGTTAAACAACTGAGTGATGGAGGACTGTAGTATATACAAACCTGTGAAGTATTCACAATGCATCAAGCATAGCACTAACTCCACAACACAGCACTGATGAATACATAACACGCAATGAAAGTCTGTTGGCCATTTGGTTACCATGGTTACTGACACAGCACTAACCTGATTGGCTCCTGCCAGGAGCTCGAGGAAGTTGTCAGCAGCCAGGAACTGTGATGCGGACAGTGTGTGGAACAGAGTGTAGTCTCCGTCAGCGTACCCCTCTCGATTTCTGAACATAACACACAGCTAAATACAGGGAACTAGTAACATGCCAACAGTGTCTGGAACAGATTAGAGTCTCCGTCAGCGTACCCCTCCCGATATCTGAACATAACACACAGCTTAATACAGGGAACTAGTAACATCAGAAGTTCTCAACATACACAAGGTGATGTTTAAAAATATTTGCCAAATCAAATTATGTAACAGATTTAACATGAAAATGTATAAAAAATCATACACATTATATAAGGGTCAAAAACTAAGAAAAACTCCCCAAAATGAAACTTGTTTTGACCTGGCTTTCAACATGTCCAATAAGCCAATCAGTGACATGGAAAGGTATAAAAATAAAATTAAAATCTGTATTTTTTCGGAAAATCCAAATATTGAAATCAAACTTTACACTGCTTCTCTCCAATAGGAATAAAAAGTGTTCACCAAGTTCAAAGAATCTATCATAGTTTTTAAGTTATAGGTCACACAAAAAATTGTCCTCGTAAGGACAGATGGACTTATAACTATATACCCCTCCCTTTTAGGTCAGGGATATATTAACGACAAAGTAGTTAGCTAAAAGACATTATTGTGAGTATGTTCAAACTTGGGTGCAAATTATGACCTTTTCCTAAAGAAACCACTGATGTTTCTGCTGCAGGAATTGTCAAACCTGTACCTGTCTACTCTGCACACTGACAATACACACAGGTAGGGATGTCACGATTCACCAATTGTACCGATGCATCGTTAGATAATTCTCACGATACGATACAAGATACTAGTGGTGTAATGATACATCGAACTATCGATTGATTGCGATTGCTTGTCTCACGATAGTACACTATCGATTGCAACTTGAAACAATCGATACTATTGGCGATAGTTTGTCTAACTATCGATAGTTTTGATATTTAATTTGTTTGGTACATTTACTTTCTTATAAAACATAGAAACAACTCCTATGATCATCTAACCTCTGTTGTGCTTTCGTTTGGATTGCACTACTTTGTCTGCTTGATTTAGAGTTACGTCCCTTAGCTACTCGTCTCTAGGCAACATTGACAAGTTGGCGGACGCCACATGTCAGTTCGAAATTGTCGCCAATAAGGCAGGCAAATCGTGGGTATTGGACCATTTTGGCTTTGTCAAAATGCTAAACGAGACAGACAAGCAAAAAGTAAGTTGTAGAATCTGTTGGATAATTCTAAAGTATTCAGGAAATACTACTAATCTGACCGACCGCTTGACAAGACGGCACCCAGATATTCGTCCACGTGAAAAAGGGGGATCAAATACTAGTCATTCTATCACATTCATTCACATTGGTGCTAAAACACTGCAGTAACCTTAGACTTTACCAGTTACATGAAGTGAAATTTTGCATTAAAATGTTTTTGAGAGGTCAATTTGAACTTGTTTTCTTTTCATTTCTTGTTTTCTTTACACATAGTATCAGAAAGTTATAATTAGTTTGATGGTGTCAGTCAAAATGCTGAAATATATGCTGCTAAAGCCTGCTATAATTGCAAGTGAAAACTATCGCAATAGTATCGCAATAGTAGGGCCACTATCGCAATAGCATCGCAATAGTTGTTATAACTATCGCAATAGTATTGCAATAGTCAAAAATGCCTCAATAGTCACCCCTACAAGATACATGTAAATTTATATCAATACCAAATTTTATTGAAATCGGTACCCATTTGTTCGCGTATCGATTGATTCTTCTATTCGAATCGAAATGTCTTCATATTTTCTGAATTTGACACATACCAAAACTTACTGACCCTTGTTTGAATAAACAGAATCAACCTTTTCTAAGTAATATCATTTTACAACATAATCTACCGATAGTGGTTAGAATACATAATTGTGAATGTGATATGTGTAGGAGAAACCCATCTTCCTGAGGAATGTGAATTAACGGACTATAAAAGTCCAGTTTCCACCCTTGCCGAACTAGGCTGGTATTATGGAGTTAGATTGTGGCTGGACTAACGAGTCTATGTAAAGTCCAATCAAAATAGCGCACCGAAATCGAAATAGATTTCGGTCGACTGCAGGATTTGCAAAGCATGTGCACCGCTAGCTCGTTGTCAACAGATATTTTCTAAATCTTTTCATGTTTTTAATCAAGGTGCTCACGTGATTTGAAGCACTTCGCGATGTAAGACTCGTTTTATCACAATATAGATCTTGATTATTGATCAGATCGTTCTGACAGGGCGCCACTCTTTTGTGGCAAATGCAAGTGATGCGAGAGGTGGAACTGATTGGTCCATAGGAGAGGCATAGAAGGGACATAGCTCGTAAAAGCCACTGGTCTCGCTACGACCAAGCCCAGGAATTCCAGCCTAGTTCGGCAAGGGTGGAAACTGGACTTTTAGAGTCAGTTAACTCCCTTACCTCGGGAAGATGGGAGAAACCATGTCTCCGAGATGGTGAGGGTTTACAATCTCTAGTAATCTCGAGGAGACATGGTTTGTCCAACTTATAAACCGACTCATCGCATAGACAAAGTTTTTAATTAAATAACTGTAATAAAAACTCTCAAATGTATAACCTGTATCGGAGATGAAATATCGCCTGCAGTCGTGAACTCTGTTCAATGAAACCGGTGACTTCAGCACGGGGGTTTCGCAACGGTGCGAAATCTGCACGTGCGTCTCCTAGGCTGTTCGTAGTTTTTGTTCTATCAAGGGTTTACAATGATTGTAAGCCCTCCTGCCAGGTGTTACAATCGTTGTAAGACCTCCTGCGTGGTGTTACCACAATTTCAAAAACTCCATATCGAGTTACACAAACAGCCAGTAGGTTAATAAGTAATTAAAAAGTTTGCTTCTAAAATTATGCATAAATGGTCAGTATTGCTGTATCGAGATACGTATCGTATCTTGACCTCAAAATCGAGATACGTATCGTATCTTGACCTCAAAATCGAGATACGTATTGTATCATGAGGTACTTGTATCATGACACCCCTACACACAGGAATTAACACAATGCACAAATATGTGCCAAGTAAGCGCAAATGCAGAGAACGGGCGCAGAAAAATATACTGGGTCCCAAGAGATGCACAATAATATTCAATGTACCTACAGCGCATCAAGAGCAGTTATGGGCGTCTGTCATCTCAGCCATCATTAATGACCACTGTCCACACTACAGTAATTATCTACAGTACACTACACCATTTCTTTGCTTTACAGGACCCTCGTATTGCCGGCAATATAATTGGGGGTCCCCTGGACCTCCACTGATGTAAGTCATGGTAAAACTCTGACACAGGCGGTGGAGTGACATGGGGTTTAATGATGTCATGTTCAAGATTATTGCACTTACATAGCGACGTGCATGAATTGCTTACAAGTACTGGTCTGGACTAATGCCAGTTTCATAGTGCTAGCCCACTGAGTCATCATGCCACAGTTTAACATGAATTCCCCACTCAGACACAGTTTACTGACTTAAGCCGACCAGTCTCTTGGTATGACACAGTCAGGGACTAAACCGAAATTCCACTCTCTGGAAGGTGCTCTATCTACCACACAATGAGTGAGTGAGTGAGTGAGTGAGTGAGTGAGTGAGTGAGTGAGTGAGTGAGTGAGTGAGTGAGTGAGTGAGTGAGTGAGTGAGTGAGTGAGTGAGTGAGTGAGTTGGGTTTAACGCCACTTTTAACAGTATTCCAGTTATATCCAGCGTGTCAGCTTAATGTGGGAGGAAAGCCCGAAGTGATGCAGGTCTCAGACGTTTACCACTTCGTTGAAACCCACGAGCACGGTAATGGTGCTGACAAACCTAGAAACATAATCTGGTCGAACCGGGATTCGAACCCACAATCATAGGTTTCTGGCGTGCCCAAGGGACGCAACTCTGCACAGCGAATCGCGGCACCTTAGACGACTGGGCCACCCTTGCCCCCACCAAACAATGAAGGCATAGCACAATATACAGACAATATGTATATACCAAATCCGGACAGTTCAATCTGCAGATTTGCATAATTCCTTTAGTTGGATAAAAACAGTCAGGGTTGGAGGTTTGCTTGTGGGACAGTAGACATGGTGCATTGGCAAATACAGGTCAGGGTTCCATATAAGGAGTGAGTGGGTATGGTTTTATGCTGCTTTTAGTATATTCCAGCAATATCACGGCGGGGGACACCAGAAATGGCCTTCACACATTGTACCCATGTCGGGAATCGAACCTGGGTCTTTGGCGTGACAAGCGAACGATTTAACCATTAGGCTACCTGACCCCTCTCGATATAAGGAACTTGCACCACTGCATTCAACAGCCCCACATTGAAGTATATGATGTTAACTGCCGCACTCAGCAATATTCCAGCTATATGATTGCGGTCTGTAAACAACCCAGTTTGGCCCAGATAATCCAGTGATTGACATCATGAGCATGGAAACACCCAATTGGGCTCATGCATCAACCAAGTCAGCGAACTTGACCACCCGATCCCGTTAGGTGCCTCTTACGACAAGCATAGTCGCCTCTCACAGCAAGCATAGTTGCCTCGTATGACAAGCATATTTGCTATTCTTATGCTAAAGACCGAATGTACAATAAGCACGAGGTGTCTCCTTAGCTAATTGACTTTGCTAAATATGCCTGTTCACCAAGCAGTGAACGGGTACCCGGTAGGATTAGACAGTAATGTGACTGTCAACCTTCAAAGCCTCACTGAAAGAGCTGAGAAAGGAAATTGAGAGCACACTGATCCATAAACCAGGAAAATAATGGTGTTAACGTCTTGAGCTTGCTGCAAAGGATGGACTATACATGCTATAGTACATTACAAATATCCATTTATTATTATTAACGTTTTGGCACAACTTGTCACATCCACAAATGAAATGAGGTTAGAGGTCGAACCAAGGAGACCACATTTGACCTTGAATCTGTGACACCAGAAACATTACCTCTTCTTTTTCTCGGGATGTATCAGGTCCAGAAGCTGGCGGCCCTCCTGCTCCACATCCTGAAACACGTGCTTGGGGTTCAGGAACTTGGGATCTATCTTGTCTGGCGCCAGGAAGCCTTGGCACACCACAAAGATTTCCGCAGACTCATTCCTGGACGCCTGCGGTTTGGTGGCGTTAACAGTGTGAAAGAGCTGCTGAAGCACCCACAACAGTGAGTAGTAGTCTTTGGACCGGAACACCTTGGTGACAAACGATCCCCCCTTCCGCAAGAAGTCAGTTGCAAGCTTCACGGCATACAGTGTCAACTCAGCTGGAACAGAAAAAAAAATCATAAAGTGTTGTTGCAATTCCATAGATACAAACACCACACAGATAACCACTTCTAAAGTCCCTTGGATGTATACTAGCCAACATTAAAAATGTAATAGTGCTATTCACCTACAGTGATCTATCCAGGGTTCTAAACTAAGGGTCCATGTCAACTGGGAACAAATTGTTATTTTGTAAAAAATTGGGACTTTTCTAAAGTTCTTACTTTACCAAATTCAGAGGAATTTAACATTTTGTTTGGATACTGCATTCAATGCAATAATATAAATCTGAGCATTAAATTAGTTACTAGTCATTTATATTAACATGTAATTGGGACAAAATTTCATTCCAATTTGGGATTATCAGCCTTTTGAGCATGAACCTTGCCCTGTGTATGAACTAGCTAATGGGGATTACTGGAATTACAGTCAAGTCTCATTAATCCGACCATCGGCTTTATCCGACACTAATGATGGGAACCGATTAAATCAGTGCTATTTAGACCCATTAATCTGACAGTCTCGCACTCCGACTCTGACACACCTAATTTTCAACAAATTACTGAAATCACTCATTAATCAGTCTCGTTAATCCAACACAGTGATCAGCGTACTCCGTGGGGTATTCCTGCTTGTCCAGGACCTATTGTTAAAGGTAGAAATTCACCGAAGAGTGGTGACCGGTAAGATAATAGGGGATTAAGGGGGGCATGTCATATGACACAACTAACTGGTGACTAGTTGATGAACCATATTCACATACACTGTACAGAGTGAAAACCTTTAACACAAATAAAATATATATCAATGTTTGAGAGAACATATTAATCATTAAGTAAGATTTGGGCTACAAAAGGAATTACAGACAACAAACAGTATTCCACTGGAATGCACAGATTGATTTAAAATTTATTCCCAATTCTAAGAGGGGTCGGCACTTGGTTTGGCCGAATCCAAGTTCATGATTAAGACCGGGCGTCAAACTTCCCTTCATTGGCTTTGTTTCCAATGAGGATGCCTGACCACTGTTATTTGTCGCTGAGCAGTGGGTCGATGCCATCAAATCATCTCAAGGGCTGGCATCCTAAATCTGTAGAAATTCCTTGAGATACTGCAGGTTGAGCAGGATACTGCGATCACAATAGTTAGTTTGATGCCACCCAAGAAAAAGAAGTTTCCAGTGAGAGTTTTTACGCCGCTTCTAGCAATATTCCAGTAATATCACGGCGGGGGACACCAGAAATGGGCTTCACACATTGTACCCATGTCGGGAATCGAACCCGGGTCTTTGGTGTGACGAGCCACTACGAGCTACCCGACCGCCCCAAAAGAAGTTTACAAACCAAGGTCATTCCCTTGACAAAGGATAACAGACAACTTCTCACCTACCAGGAACTAGTTACTGTTTCACTTTTGGTTGGATTGTGAATGATGTAAATTTGAGATGTGAAGGAAAAACGCATCTATTGTGTTTGGTTATTGGGTGAAACGATACAGCAAGGTCATGATACGATACGTATCATGATACATAGGTCAAAATACGATATGTATAGCTATACACATATTTACGTCAAACCACGTGAAATCTTCTTGACTATAAATATTTCAGAGCAGGTTCCAAAGGAAAAGCTAGCTGTAGACACATGTTCGTTGCGGTTATTTCAGTAGTGAATTTGAAACTTCATTGCAACACATGTACCGATATTTGACTGACAAGAACTGAGGGCGGGGGTCTTTAATCATGTTAATTGAGAATGTAATTTATTTTAACAAATGTATCGTCTTGAATCAATAAAGAATAAAAGGTTTCATACCATCGCATGAAAACTCACGATGCACCCATGTATCATTTCACCCCAAGGGTTCTTGTGTCGCAAATCGTTATCTACGTGTTGCAAGCATCTGCACGTTACTTGCCCTGTAAGAGCTGCTGTTTGCCTGAGCATCTGCACGTTACTTGCCCTGTAAGAGCTGCTGTTTGCCTGAGCATCTGCACGTTACTTGCCCTGTAAGAGCTGCTGTTTGCCTGAGCATCTGCACTTTACTTGCCCTGTAAGAGCTGCTGTTTGCCTGAGCATCTGCACTTTACTTGCCCTGTAAGAGCTGCTGTGTGCCTGAGCATCTGCACTTTACTTGCCCTGTAAGAGCTGCTGTTTGCCTGAGCATCTGCACTTTACTTGCCCTGTAAGAGCTGCTGTTTGCCTGAGCATCTGCACTTTACTTGCCCTGTAAGAGCTGCTGTGTGCCTGAGCATCTGCACGTTACTTGCCCTGTAAGAGCTGCTGTGTGCCTGAGCATCTGCACATTACTTGCCCTGTAAGAGCTGCTGTTTGCCTGAGCATCTGCACGTTACTTGCCCTGTAAGAGCTGCTGTTTGCCTGAGCATCTGCACTTTACTTGCCCTGTAAGAGCTGCTGTTTGCCTGAGCATCTGCACTTTACTTGCCCTGTAAGAGCTGCTGTGTGCCTGCTGAGTGTTACTTGCCCTGTAAGAGCAGCTGTGTGCCTGATGAGTGTTACTTGCCCTGTAAGAGCTGCTGTGTGCCTGATGAGTGTTACCTTGTTGATAGGCATCATGGACCCAGTTCTTGCCCACATTAGGAGCGCCATCGTTGAGGAACACGTCCGCTTTCCACGTCTTCAGCTCTTGCTTCAGAATCTGGAGATGAGACATTGAGACATGAGACAGGTAGAAATGTTCTGTTGTCAAGTCTGTTATGGAGGACTCAACCCACACAGTTGTCATTTAGAAAGTTTGACCCCTTTCTTTTTATTGAGGTTGATAATATCCGTACCAATATCTGAATATCCAGATTTATATTGTAAAGCATACTGGCAGCGTCTTCCTATGCTCAGGTCGCTGGCTTGACTTTTACAAGCAGACAAGTGGAGACTGCTAAAAAAATACTTGTCCTCAAGTTAAAATTTCAATCACCATGGTGACCAAAGTAGTTGGAACTTTGAGGCCTGATGAGTGTGAAAGTGAATCTAACATTGGCTAAATATACAAAATAGTGTCAAAAGGTATATTTGTTACAAACATATTTCTATGTGTGCCTGACAGGCACCAAAACGTATTTAGCTGAGCCACTGACACTTCAATAAAGGGGATTTTAAACCCTGAGAATGAAGCAAGTATCTCACTACTGTAACAACAGGTGTTTGAGGGGAATTACTGTTCTATTGTCTGAATGCGCCTCTAGTAGAAATCAGTGGTTTACACAATCTGTCACGCCACCAGTCACACAATCCGTCATATCACCAGTCACACAATCTGTCACGCCACCAGTCACACAATCCGTCATATCACCAGTCACACAATCTGTCACGCCACCAGTCACACAATCCGTCATATCACCAGTCACACAATCTGTCACACCACCAGTCACACAATCTGTCACGCCACCAGTCACACAATCCATCATATCACCAGTCACACAATCTGTCACGCCACCAGTCACACAATCCGCCACACCACCAGTCACACAATCCGCCACACCACCAGTCACACAATCCGCCCCACCACCAGTCAAACAATCCGTCACTCCACCAGTCACACAACTCATCACGCCACCAGTCACACAATCCGCCATATCACAAGTCACACAATCCGTCACTCCACCAGTCACACAATCCGTCACGCCACCAGTCACACAATCCGCCATATCACAAGTCACACAATCCGTCACTCCACCAGTCACACAATCCGTCAAGCCACCAGTCACACAATCCGCCATATCACAAGTCACACAATCTGTCACGCCACCAGTCACACAATCTGTCACGCCACCAGTCAAACAATCCGTCACTCCACCAGTCACACAACTCATCACGCCACCAGTCAAACAATCCGTCACTCCACCAGTCACACAACTCATCACGCCACCAGTCACACAATCCGCCATATCACAAGTCACACAATCCGTCACTCCACCAGTCACACAATCTGTCACGCCACCAGTCACACAATCCGTCACGCCACCAGTCACACAATCCGCCATATCACAAGTCACACAATCCGTCACGCCACCAGTCACACAATCCGCCATATCACAAGTCACACAATCTGTCACGCCACCCGTCACACAATCCACCACGCCACCAGTCACACAATCCGTCACTCCACCAGTCACACAACTCATCACGCCACCAGTCACACAATCCGCCATATCACAAGTCACACAATCCGTCACTCCACCAGTCACACAATCCGTCACTCCACCAGTCACACAATCCGTCATATCACCAGTCACACAATCTGTCACTCCACCAGTCACACAATCCGTCACTCCACCAGTCACACAATCCGTCATATCACCAGTCACACAATCCGCCACACCACCAGTTACACAATCCGTCACGCCACCAGTCACACAACTCATCACGCCACCAGTCACACAATCCGTCACGCCACCAGTCACACAATCCGTCACACAATCCGTCACGCAACCAGTCACACAATCCGTCAAGCGTCCAGTCACACAACTCATCACGCCACCAGTCACACAATCCGTCACGCCACCAGTCACACAATCTGTCACGCCACCAGTCACACAATCCGCCATATCACAAGTCACACAATCCGTCACTCCACCAGTCACACAATCCGTCATATCACCAGTCACACAATCTGTCACGCAACCAGTCACACAATCCGCCATATCACAAGTCACACAATCCGTCACGCCACCAGTCACACAATCTGTCATGCCACCAGTCACACAATCCGTCACTCCACCAGTCACACAATCCGTCATATCACCAGTCACACAATCTGTCACGCCACCCGTCAAACAATCCGCCACACCACCAGTCACACAATCTGTCACGCCACCAGTCAAACAATCCACCACGCCACCAGTCACACAATCCGTCACTCCACCAGTCACACAACTCATCACGCCACCAGTCACACAATCCGCCATATCACAAGTCACACAATCCGTCACTCCACCAGTCACACAACTCATCACGCCACCAGTCACACAATCCGCCATATCACAAGTCACACAATCCGTCACTCCACCAGTCACACAATCCGTCATATCACCAGTCACACAATCTGTCACGCCACCAGTCACACAATCCGCCACACCACCAGTTACACAATCCGTCACGCCACCAGTCACACAATCCGTCACGCCACCAGTCACACAACTCATCACGCCACCAGTCACACAATCCGTCACGCCACCAGTCACACAATCCGTCACGCCACCAGTCACACAACTCATCACGCCACCAGTAACACAATCCGCCATATCAAAAGTCACACAATCCGTCATTCCACCAGTCACACAATCCGTCATATCACCAGTCACACAATCTGTCACTCCACCCGTCACACAATCCGCCACACCACCAGTCACACAATCTGTCACGCCACCAGTGACACAACTCATCGCGCCACCAGTCACACAATCCGTCACGCCACCAGTCACACAATCCGTCACGCCACCAGTCACACAACTCATCACGCCACCAGTCACACAATCCGTCAAGCGTCCAGTCACACAACTCATCACGCCACCAGTCACATAATCCGTCACACAACTCATCGCCCCACCAGTCACACAATCCGTCACGCAACCAGTCACACAACTCATCGCCCCACCAGTCACACAACGCATCCTGCCACCAGTCACACAACTCATCACGCCACCAGTCACACAACTCATCACGACACCAGTCACATAACTCATCACGACACCAGTCACACAACTCATCAAGCCACCAGTCACACAATCTGTCACGCCACCAGTCACACAATCTGTCACGCCACCAGTCACACAACTGATCACGCCACCAGTCACAAAACTCATCACGCCACCAGTCACACAACTCATCACGCCACCAGTCACACAACTCATCATGCCAACAGTCACACAACTCATCACGCCACCAGTCACACAACAGATCACGCCACCAGTCACACAATCTGTCACGCCACCAGTCACACAGTCAGCCATGCCACCAGGGAAACCAAGCTGAAAGTATTCCCTCATGGCTCCTGAGGAGTACTATGTCCACTCATCAGGTATTTATACCACAAAAACTACAGTTTTAACATGGTAATTGCCACTTACAACATTTCCCCTCCATAAGTATGTTTTGTGCTGAACAGTATTCCAGTTCTATCACAGTTTTCAGCGCCATGTATGAGGAGAGTCCGCAGTGTTTGATTGTTTGTTTCTTAATACCACTCAGCAATATTCCAGCTATATAACGGCAGGGCTGTAAATAATCGAGTATGGACCAGACAATCTAGTGACTGACATCATGAGGATTGATCTAGGCAATTGGGATATGATGACATGCATTAACCAAGTCAGCAAGTCTAAACACCCAATCCCATTAGTCGCCTCTTGTTTGTTTGTTGTTCAACGCCGCACTCAGCAATATTCCAGCTGTATGATGGTGGTCTGCGCCCCTTATGACAAGCATGGGCTGCTGAAGACCTATTCCACCCCGGATTTTCATGGGTGGAGAGCCCATATTGAGGTAGGATGCAGATATTTACCATGTTTACCAGGGTATGGTGCTGTTAAACCAAGGGTCACAAGTGGCATAAATGTAGCATTCACACACTGGCACATCTAGCAGCTGCAGTTTTTTCTGACCAGGATTGCCACTAATATCAAAATAATTTTCAGTCACGACTAGCACTAGTAGCAGTTATCTAATCTTCCAACAGAGGGGGCAGCTGTTTGATCAGTGCTTACCTGGCGACACTTCTCTGTTGTGATATCTGCCTGGAAGGTTGTACACTTGGGGATCGGACGAATGGAGACCAAGTCAATACCTGCCAAACAGAATACCAGTAATGACAAAATGGGGACATACACGCTAAATATTAGCAATGTTGCTTACCTGGTGGTCTATCATGAGTAAAAAACATTCGAACATACTGACAATGAAGGTGTTCTACAGTCGGGGCCAAAAACACTACATTAATGACAATGAGACTGGAGATAAGCGTGTTCTGCTGTAGAGGCCAACTTACCGATGATGAGACTTGAGATGGGCGTGTTCTGCTGTAGAGGCCAACTTAACGATGAGACTGGAGATGGGCGTGTTCTGCTGTAGAGGCCAACTTACCGACTATGAGACTGGAGATGGGCGTGTTCTGCTGTAGAGGCCAACTTACCGACTATGAGACTGGAGATGGGCGTGTTCTACTGTAGAGGCCAACTTACCGATGATGAGACTGGAGATGGGCGTGTTCTGCTGTAGAGGCCAACTTACCGACTATGAGACTGGAGATGGGCGTGTTCTGCTGTAGAGGCCAACTTACCGATGATGAGACTGGAGATGGGCGTGTTCTGCTGTAGAGGCCAACTTCACGATGATGAGACTGGAGATGGGCGTGTTCTGCTGTAGAGGCCAACTTACCGATGATGAGACTTGAGATGGGCGTGTTCTGCTGTAGAGGCCAACTTACCGACTATGAGACTGGAGATGGGCGTGTTCTGCTGTAGAGGCCAACTTACCGACTATGAGACTGGAGATGGGCGTGTTCTGCTGTAGAGGCCAACTTACCGATGATGAGACTGGAGATGGGCGTGTTCTGCTGTAGAGGCCAACTTACCGACTATGAGACTGGAGATGGGCGTGTTCTGCTGTAGAGGCCAACTTACCGATGATGAGACTGGAGATGGGCGTGTTCTGCTGTAGAGGCCAAGTTATCGATGATGAGACTGGAGATGGGCGTGTTCTGCTGTAGAGGCTAACTTACCGACTATGGGACTGGAGATGGGCGTGTTCTGCTGTAGAGGCCAACTTACCGATGATGAGACTGGAGATGGGCGTGTTCTGCTGTAGAGGCCAACTTACCGATGATGAGACTGGAGATGGGCGTGTTCTGCTGTAGAGGCCAACTTACCGACTATGAGACTGGAGATGGGCGTGTTCTGCTGTAGAGGCCAACTTACCGACTATGAGACTGGAGATGGGCGTGTTCTGCTGTAGAGGCCAACTTAACGATGATGAGACTGGAGATGGGCGTGTTCTGCTGTAGAGGCCAACTTACCGGCTATGAGACTGGAGATGGGCGTGTTCTGCTGTAGAGGTCAACTTACTGGCTATGAGACTGGAGATGGGCGTGTTCTGCTGTAGAGGCCAACTTAACGATGATGAGACTGGAGATGGGCGTGTTCTGCTGTAGAGGTCAACTTACCGGCTATGAGACTGGAGATGGGCGTGTTCTACTGTAGAGGTCAACTTACCGACTATGAGACTGGAGATGGGCGTGTTCTGGGATGCAACTTGCAGCCATCCTCCCGGGGCTGCACATAGGTCCACCACTACACGGGCCTTCTCCAAAAATTCAAACTTTCTGTTGAGTTGTATCAATTTGAAGGCAGATCGAGCTCGATATCCTGAAACAATCAACTGATCACTCAGTATCAAATGCTTAGAGTGTTTCTCCATGAAACTTCCCAAAGGGGTAAAGTTGTCATCTGTCTCGATTAATACCACTTATGGCACATGACATGTTGAACACTTTCCTCAGAGTAATTAAGTATATTAGAAAGATTAGTGATTCTAATTATGACATTTTTTTACCAAATTATCATAAAATGTGATAATAATCATCTCTTCTCAAGTCAAAAGTGTTAGTTTGAAATAAGCCGGGATTAGCGCTGAATAAGGGGAAACAGAGAGACATCAATTCATAGGTTAAGCTGTCGAGTATGTGTCACTGTCGTCATCTTTAAAGAAATAGATTAAAAAGCTGATGTTTATAATTTCATTTACTTGATGTGGCGAGTAAAATGTTCTTGCGTTGACCAAATTAACAAATAACATAGTGACACAAATAGCAAAACGTTTTCCTGATCTTAAAACGTATACCTGTCTCTTTCGCTAGTTTGTAAAACTTGTCCTTCCTAGCTTTTCCAACTTTGGCCTTCTTTCCCATTTTCCTATTTGGCCAAAGCACATGTGCATGTGTTCGTCTAACACTTCCGGCGAGTTCCCGGAAGTTTCTTAAAGTCCGGGCAAAACAGATAATAATAGGTGTAGACGAAGCACACACCTATATATGGAAATAATTCGTAGCAAAAGTTCAGATGATTAAATGAGTTTAAACTGATTTATGAAAAGCGTTCAATTTTGTAAACTTTCATTTGGAGACATTAATACAAACGTTTGGCCTTGTTCGGTTAGATCCGAAAAATTATTTGTTCGTGTACTACGTCATATTGCACAGAGAAGAGTGACGTTGAATATCCCATGTGGTAAATTCTGAAAGTTTCACCACGAATCTGCTGCAATCTTTTTTGCATTTGGGGGATTAATTGAGCCTCTTTCTGTACAGTATTTAAGAAAACTATCAGCATATGCTTTCTGTATCCATAAAACAGGTAATTAGTTTCGACTTTTGCCTCAGATTGAACGCATTTCTTGGGTGTAAATGACCGGTATTGGCGTATGGTCCATCAATGAAATGCCATAAGATCGCTTCTACCCGAACATATGGCAAGATTGTTGGTTAAATGTCTAAGAGTAACACGGTTTGATTATCATTTGGTGACAATGTTATTCGTGTTTGTGTATTAGGCTAATGATACGGATACGAAATGTATCGTTGACAATGATAACACTGATTCTCACGTTCTGATTTTCCATACTGAATGTTGTGAGGCGGGAAGAGGAAGGAACGATTTTTATTTTAATTTTCATTCTTGGTCTTTTCCTCATCAGGCTACTTTTGGATAGGTTTCTGTCTCAAGTGTCGAAACATATATATTTGTGGTACATATACTATGTGGTAAATATAACACTTGACATGTTTACCAAGTAACACATTATATCTGTCAGAATACATATTGTATAAGCATCTGTTACCCACAGATGATGGACTAATGATTGATCCTAGCATTTTGGCTTGCTTGCAATCGCTTATGAATTATTTTAACATGTAACTTATGTGGTCAGTGGTGATGCTGAAAGGACTTTAAAATTCCTGCAGTCAACTTGTTGGTAGTTGCTTGTTTTGACTGCCTTTGAATTGTTATAACTATAAGAAATCACAAGGACTCGTTAAAACACCACAAACTGACTGAAACATATGTCCATCTGTATTATCATGACAACGAATTCCAAACATTATTATATTTAATATCATCACCAAGAGACTGAAAATGTTACGATGATAAATACATTTCTGTATTGTTTGGCTTCTAATCCTACATAATAATCTATTGTAATGTTTTTAGGCCCTTTTGATCGTCTTAATCATTTTTAGTCAATCTGTTCGGCCAAAATGACTGAAATATTTACACATTTTATAAATTGCCTAAGAGAATCACATTTTACCTATTGACTGTAATATATACATGCTTACATAGGAAAAGACTTGTGAAAACAACGTCTATTCGCGTATCGAAGAATTTCCCAACCAAGACATAGAGGAACAAAAATGAATCTGTTCAATGCTACAGCAAATGAAGGAAAACAAAATGCAAATATCATAATTACAACCTACCAAATTTATGTGTATAATATTAGGCAGCTTCCTTGTTCGAGGAATGTATCCGTGAATATCCACACAAACATGACAAAGGAACATTATCCCACACGTCTGCAGCTGTACAAAGAAACTTATTTGATGTCACATGTCTCTGTAACAATCAAATATTTTAAAATATACATATTGTTTCGGGATGTTATAACCCATGTTCGTTTCTCAACTGATCACTTAGATTGTTTCAGGTGTTTCACATAGGTGTCAATTAAGTCTCAAAGGTCGGCTGAGAAAGCCCATGTGACAACTATTTTCATAACGTCCAAGGTTCCTAAAAAAATCCATTGAGTTAGATAACAATGAGCATGATGAGCAATCAATCAACATATTATCGGTTAACTTTTTGAACAAAGTATGTTGTTTTTACATCAGCACTTCACGCCATGATATGAGTGTATGCCCTTTGTTTTAGTAAACCTAGACAAGTAAAGACTCACTTATTACACATCCACTGTGCAAGATAACAGTGATTAATCAATCAACATATTTTCTGTTAATCCTTTAATGACTGGGAACAATCCGTTGATTTACAAAAAAGTAAATCAACTGACCATCTTGCTGGCCTGCTACGTGCATATTACATAACACACTTTTCACCTCACTTCAAACCTGGATTAAGATTGAATACTTACCCCAGACACAATAAATGCCAAATGGGAACCTTTGTCAGGTAATCTTAGTGGTGCTATTATACCTGTAATAAATTCATTAACTGAGCATCAAGTGAATGACGACAAATACACAAGTGTAGGGTTATACCAGAAAACGTGGAGGACAAGGGAGTAGTAATCGTATTATCGACGCAATCCGAAAATGCTTTCACTGCACGGATACTTTTTTTAATTATTAAACTTTAATCATCAGGGGTATTTCCAAATGATGACATCCGATGAGCTCCGCCGTTCTTTTTGTCAAAATATTGCCTCCAAGTTATTTAGCTGTCCTTGCAGACGGTAGCCCAGTCTCTTATCATGTTCAGTTGCGTTGCATATAATCCGGGTACTCACGGGAAAAAAACAATAACAAAGGCAACAACCAGTCCCGGGGAATTGCTTTAGATCTGTGCCCCTTTAACATATTGTGACTCACAACAATGTATAAAATGGTGTGCCTTGAAAGAAATCTAACCGTTTATACTTGCCCTTAGAAACTTAATGTTTAAGGAAAGGAAATATCCTTTAAAAATGGGGATGGAAAGAAGGTCCAAGTGTGTATGTCAAGAGGCTGCATAGCAGTCCAGATGAGGTGACACAGTTTGGATGGCAGTATGTTAAATGATTATTTAGGTATTTTGTAATGCAAACAGGGAACGGTCTGAGGTTCCCTTCCATTAAACCCCTGCTACCATAATATATATTTGTTGGAGGAAATATTTTTTCACTGCTCTCCATTCCTTCTCAGTCATCACTAGTTGTCGGGCCGGTAGGCCCAGTTGTCTAAGTTGCTGCAATTCGCTGTGCAGAGTCGCGTCCCTTGGGCACGCCAGAAACCTATGATTGTGGGTATAATCCCGGTTCGCCCGATTATGTTTCTAGGTGTGTCAGCATCATACCCGTACTCGTGGGTTTCACCAAAGTGGTAAACGTCTGAGACCTGCATCACTTCGGGCTTTCCTCCCACATTCAGCCGCCACGCAGTGATATAATTGGAATACTGTTAAAAGTGGCGTTAACTTAAACCCAACCCAACTCACTCACTCACTGAATCAGTCAGAAAATCATTCCTGCGTGCTTATGCTTTTGATCATTATGAACCTGTTGGTATAGAGAAGTGATTTCTATTGTGTTTGTTTCAGAATCAAAGATGTCGCGTTTCTTTCGTGCGGGTTCCGAATCGGAATCGGAGAGTGAGTCGAGCGGTGAGGAGTTGCAGCCCCAGCGCCCAACTGCTACCAGGTGGGTGTTCTGTCAGTGTACCTTAATTAGTCAATCATAAGATATATCAACACAGTCATTAACTCTCCAGACACGTGAAGATCCAGGTTAGAATATGTCTTCAGCAACCTATGCTGGCCGTAAAAGGCGACCATGCTTGTCATAAGAGTCAACTAACGGGATCGGTGGTCAGGCTTGCTGTCTTGGTTGATGCATGTTATCGTATCCCAATTGTGTGAATCGATGCTCATGATATCAATCACTAGATTGTCTGGTCCATACTCAATTATTTACAGACCTTGGTCTTATAGGTGGTATATTGCTGAGTGCAGCGTTAAACAACAAACAAAGAAACATTATCTCACCAACAATAGAGATCTTGGCCATGTTATTCCTGATGTGGGATTGTGGAGTTGAACAGCATGCTTGAAATCAAGTCAATCAATGTTTTAGAAGGAAATTAAAATTAACATATCAACATCAAAGGTACTAGTTAATATATGCACATGTGTGATCAGATCTTTTTTATTTTATTTTGATATTGAAAATGTTTATTGAACAATGGATCATGGTAGATATCATGAGATATAGACATTGGATACTATTGGAAACAGTATATTTTTTATGTCAACAAACTGAAATGTATGCTTGTCATGAGGACTTGGATTGTGAGGTGAAGCGTCTGTAAAGCAAGTATGTTTGTGTTGCAGGGCTGTGTTTCAGATGAGTGATGATGAAGAAGACACAAAGAGAGTTGTTCGCAGTGAGAAGGACAAGAGGTGAGCCTGGATCACACGACGAAGTAGAATAGTATTGTCAGCATGACACACTGTTGTCACACACTTCTGTCACACACTGCTGTCAGGGCAGCAGTAGAAACTAACTGTTTTAGCCCACTGGTCCTTGTAATGATAACATATAGCAAAACTCTTGAAAAGGGCAAATTTTCTACTAGTCCTTAGGATACATTTAACTATTGAGCAGTTTAGCAAGGCCTATGTGACTAGTGCCAATTTCTAATGCTGCAGTGTCAAACTGTTTTCAGATACTGTTGTCAGGGTCACATGGAAATGTTTTCAGAAACTGTTATCAGTATCATACATTGTTGTCAGGGTCACACACTGTTTTCAGATACTGTTATCAGTGTGACACATTGTTGTCAGGGTCACACACTGTTGTCAGATACTGTTATCAGTGTGACACATTGTTGTCAGGGTCACACACTGTTTTCAGATACTGTTATCAGTGTGACACATTGTTGTCAGGGTCACACACTGTTGTCAGATACTGTTATCAGTGTGACACATTGTTGTCAGGGTCACACACTGTTGTCAGATACTGTTATCAGTATCACACATTGTTGTCAGGGTCACACACTGTTTTCAGATACTTTTGTCAGTGTGACACATTGTTGTCAGGGTCACACACTGTTTTCAGATACTGTTATCAGTGTGACACATTGTTGTCAGGGTCACACACTGTTGTCAGATACTGTTATCAGTGTGACACATTGTTGTCAGGGTCACACACTGTTTTCAGATACTGTTATCAGTGTGACACATTGTTGTCAGGGTCACACACTGTTTTCAGATACTGTTATCAGTGTGACACATTGTTGTCAGGGTCACACACTGTTTTCAGATACTGTTATCAGTGTGACACGTTGTTGTCAGGGTCACACACTGTTGTCAGATACTGTTATCAGTGTGACACATTGTTGTCAGGGTCACACACTGTTTTCAGATACTGTTATCAGTATCACACATTGTTGTCAGGGTCACACACTGTTGTCAGATACTTTTATCAGTGTGACACGTTGTTGTCAGGGTCACACACTGTTTTCAGATACTGTTATCAGTGTGACACGTTGTTGTCAGGGTCACACACTGTTGTCAGATACTGTTATCAGTGTGACACATTGTTGTCAGGGTCACACACTGTTGTCAGATACTGTTATCAGTATCACACATTGTTGTCAGGGTCACACACTGTTGTCAGATACTGTTATCAGTGTGACACATTGTTGTCAGGGTCACACACTGTTGTAAGATACTGTTATCAGTATCACACATTGTTGTCAGGGTCACACATTGTTGTCAGGGTCACACACTGTTGTCAGATACTTTTATCAGTGTGACACGTTGTTGTCAGGGTCACACACTGTTGTCAGATACTGTTGTCATTGTTGTCTGACAATAACACTGTTGTTGCTGTGACACCACACTGTTCCCTGACTCATGAAGATCCGGGTTAGAATAAGTCTTTGCCAAACCATGCTTGTCGTAAGAGGAGACTAAGTGTATTGGGTGGTCAGGCCTGCTACTTGATTGACACATGTCATCGTATCCCAATTGCGTAGATCAATGCTACTGATGGCAATCACTGGATTGTCTGGTCCAGACTCGATTATTTACAGACAGCTGTCATACAGCTGGAATACTGCTGAGTGTGGCGTCAAACAACAATAAAAACCACAGTGTTACCTGGGGTGTTGATGACTTGCTCTGTCTGTTCCCAGGTATGAGGAGATCAACAATGTCATCAAACAGCTGAAGAATCACAAGAAGATCAAAGACATGTCCAACGTCCTCACAGGTCGGTTACACAGGGTTGTTAGCTCAGTTGTTTGTTCACTACACCAATACAGTGTACAAAGTCATGGCTTCAGTCATCATGTGTAGATGCAGATATCATTTAATTTAGTTACCTGATGATACCTTTGTGAAAATTTTAATGAATAAATCAAGGGAATGTTGGGTCAAAAGGCTAAAGATTTACTTTGTCAATCAGATTTGTAGACAGACCACTTGTCAATTATATTTAGATGCATTCCGACCTGTAGGGTTGTCTCCATGGAATCTGGTGTGAAGAATGTTGTGATGTTTCAGACTTCGAGGGTCTGGGCAAGGCATATGAGAAGGCCAGGAAGGTGGTGGACAAGGAGGGAATCCCACGCTTCTACATCCGCTGTCTGGTGGAGCTGGAGGACTTCGTCAATGAGGTCAGTGTCTTGGGTACAGAAACAGGTGAAGGTCAAGGTTTAACACTACATTATTCATACCCTTGAAAGAATAAGGTTGCCCCTACATTGATAACAGTCAAAGGTTAAGTGTGCCCTTACATTTATACATATAGTCAAAGGTCAAGGTTACTCTCTATATTGATACGAATTGATGCCCTACTGTAGAGTGTGGAAGCAAGCGTTCAGGTTGCCTTACTGTCGAGTGTGGAAGCAAGCGTTCAGGTTGCCTTACTGTCGAGTGTGGAAGCAAGTGTTCAGGATGCCCTACAGTAGAGTGTGGAAGCAAGTGTTCAGGTTGCCCTACTGTAGAGTGTGGAAAGAAGCATTAAGGTTGCCCTACAGTAGAGTGTGGAAGCAAGCGTTCAGGTTGCCTTACTGTCAAGTGTGGAAGCAAGTGTTCAGGTTGCCCTACAGTAGAGTGTGGAAGCAAGTGTTCAGGTTGCCCTACAGTAGAGTGTGGAAGCAAGTGTTCAGGTTGCCCTACAGTAGAGTGTGGAAGCAAGTGTTCAGGTTGCCCTACAGTAGAGTGTGGAAGCAAGTGTTCAGGTTGCCTTACTGTAGAGTGTGGAAGCAAGTGTTCAGGATGCCCTACAGTAGAGTTTTGAAGCAAGTGTTCAGGTTGCCTAACTGTAGAGTGTGGAAGCAAGTGTTCAGGTTGCCCTACAGTAGAGTGTGGAAGCAAGTGTTCAGGTTGCCTTACTGTAGAGTGTGGAAGCAAGTGTTCAGGATGCCCTACAGTAGAAAGTGGAAGCAAGTGTTCAGGTTGCCTTACTGTAGAGTGTGGAAGCAAGTGTTCAGGTTGCCTTACTGTAGAGTGTGGAAGCAAGTGTTCAGGTTGCCCTACAGTAGAGTGTGGAAGCAAGTGTTCAGTAGAGTGTGGAAGCAAGTGTTCAGGTTGCCCTACAGTAGAGTGTGGAAGCAAGTGTTCAGGTTGCCCTACAGTAGAGTGTGGAAGCAAGTGTTCAGTAGAGTGTGGAAGCAAGTGTTCAGGTTGCCCTACTGTTGAGTGTGGAAGCAAGTGTTCGGGATGCCCTACAGTAGAGTGTGGAAGCAAGCGTTCAGGTTGCTCTACAGTAGAGTGTGGAAGCAAGTGTTCAGGTTGCCCTACAGTAGAGTGTGGAAGCAAGTGTTCAGGTTGCCTTACTGTAGAGTGTGGAAGCAAGTGTTCAGGTTGCTGTACAGTAGAGTGTTGAAGCAAGTGTTCAGGTTGCCTTACTGTAGAGTGTGGAAACAAGTGTTCAGGTTGCCCTACAGTAGAGTGTGGAAGCAAGTGTTCAGGTTGCCTTACAGTAGAGTGTGGAAGCAAGTGTTCAGGTTGCCCTACTGTAGAGTGTGGAAGCAAGCGTACAGGTTGCCCTACAGTAGAGTGTGGAAGCTAGTGTTCAGGTTGCCTTACTGTAGAGTGTGGAAGCAAGCGTTCAGGTTGCCCTACAGTAGAGTGTGGAAGCAAGTGTTCAGGTTGCCCTACAGTAGAGTGTGGAAGCAAGTGTTCAGGTTGCCCTACAGTAGAGTGTGGAAGCAAGTGTTCAGGTTGCCCTACTGTAGAGTGTGGAAGCAAGGGTACAGGTTGCCTAAAAGTAGAGTGTGGAAAAAAGCGTTCAGGTTGCCCTACAGTAGAGTGTGGAAGCAAGTGTTCAGATTGCTGTACAGTAGAGTGTGGAAGCAAGTGTTCAGGTTGCCTTACTGTAGAGTGTGGAAGCAAGTGTTCAGGTTGCCCTACAGTAGAGTGTGGAAGCAAGTGTTCAGGTTGCCCCACTGTAGAGTGGGGAAGCAAGCGTACAGGTTGCCTTACTGTAGAGTGTGGAAGCAAGTGTTCAGGTAGCCCTACAGTAGAGTGTGGAAAGAAGCGTTCAGGTTGCCCTACAGTAAAGTGTGGAAGCAAGTGTTCAGGTTGCCCTGCAGTAGAGTGTGGAAGCAAGTGTTCAGGTTATCTTTTGTCAATGGCAGTGCTGGGAAGACAAGGACTGGAGGAAGCAGATCAGCAAGAGCAATGCCCGGGGGCTGACCACACTCCGACAAAAGCTGAAGAAGTACCTGCGTGACTTCACTGACGAGGTGACCAAGTACCGGGACAACCCAGATGCCGGGGATGATGAAGAAGTTGCCGCCCCGCCAAAGGAAGTGGAGTCAGATGAAGATGAGGATGAGGATGACGAGGATGTATCCAGCATTCCTCGGCGACCAGCCAAGAAGGTACTCGATTCAATCTACTTATCTAATTTTCAGCTGACAGCTGATGGTGTGCCATACCCTCACGGTATGGATTGCTGCTTATAATATCACTAGAATTGTCTCAACGTCTGGTCAACACATGAAGGTTGTTCTTAGAATTGGTCTTCAGCATCCCATGCTTGTCCTAAGAGACGACTAAAGGGATTGAGTGGTCAGAGTCTCTGACTTGGTTGATGAATGTCATTGTATACTAATTGTGTAAATCAATGCTCATGCTTGCAATCACTGGATTGTCTGGCCCAGACACTTATCATTTACATACGGTCATATATTTGAAATATTGCTTGATGAGGCGTTAAACAACAAACAAACAAACAATGTCTTGTCCAGACTCAATTATGTTCTATACAGCATGAAAACTCATATTGCTTCATCTGAATTTGTTGAGTATTTGTTTGGAATATCTGTTGTAGATGCTTGACGATGATGACATGGACAGTGACGACAGTGACTCCTGGGACAGTTCAACCACCGAGTCTGAGTCGGACTCCGGGGACGAGAAACTGGATACAATGAAACTCACAGCAGAATACTTCTTGAAAAAGTAAGCAGTGCCATGTGTCCCTAGAGGCAGGAGTACAGCTAGTTACAGGGGGAGAACCTGGGTTACTTTGGAATTACTTTAATTGGTGGGGCAGCACATTCAGCTACTTGTGGCTTTCTTCGGCACCCCTGTTAAGATCCGGGTTAGATCCGGTCTTCAGGAACCCATGCTTGTCATAAGAGACGACTAACAGGATTGGATGGTCAGACTCACTGACTTGATTGATGCATGTCATTGTATGCCAATTGTGTGGATCGATGCTCATGATGTCTCGATTATTTACAGACTACAGTCATACAGCTGGATTGTTGCAAACTGGGACATTGTCCAACAGTTTTAACATGCTGGATTGGCGTTGTATTTCCGTACCTCTGCTTACTATCGGTCTGTAAGATTTGATAAACGTTTAATAGGGCCATATTCTCTTGATGAGTGTGCCTGAATTAGAAGTATTGTGGCATTTAGAGAGTGAAGAGAGGGTAAGCTTTAGTTTCTCCTTGTAATTCAAGGTTTAGTATCAGGGTTTTAACAGTGAAAGATATTTGCAGGACAACGGAAGATGAGCGCCTGAAGAGAGAAGAGAGGAAAAGAGAGCGGAAGAAGGAGAAAGAGGCAAAGAAGAAGTCAAAAGATGACGAAGATGGAGAATGGCAGGAAGTGGTGGGAGGAGTGCCGCTCATGACAGTGAGTAGATCTTCCTGTTTGTCCAGTATTCCTCATGACAGTAAGTAGATCTTCCTGTTTGTCCAGTATTCCTCATGATAGTAAGTAGATCTTCCTGTTTGTCTAGTATTCCTCATGACAGTAAGTAGATCTTCCTGTTTGTCCAGTATTCCTCATGACAGTGAGTAGATCTTCCTGTTTGTCCAGTATTCCTCATGACAGTAAGTAGGTCTTCCTGTTTGTCTAGTATTCCTCATGACAGTGAGTAGATCTTCCTGTTTGTCCAGTATTCCTCATGACAGTAAGTAGGTCTTCCTGTTTGTCCAGTATTCCTCATGACAGTAAGTAGATCTTCCTGTTTGTCTAGTATTCCTTATGACAGTAAGTAGATCTTCCTGTTTGTCCAGTATTCCTCATGACAGTGAGTAGATCTTCCTGTTTGTCCAGTATTCCTCATGACAGTAAGTAGGTCTTCCTGTTTTTCCAGTATTCCTCATGACAGTAAGTAGATCTTCCTGTTTGTCTAGTATTCCTCATGACAGTAATTAGGTCTTCCTGTTTGTCCAGTATTCCTCATGACAGTAAGTAGATCTTCCTGTTTGTCTAGTATTCCTCATGACTGTAAGTAGGTCTTCCTGTTTGTCCAGTATTCCTCATGACAGTAAGTAGGTCTTCCTGTTTGTCCAGTATTCCTCATGACAGTGAGTAGATCTTCCTGTTTGTCTAGTATTCCTCATGACAGTAAGTAGGTCTTCCTGTTTGTCCAGTATTCCTCATGACTGTAAGTAGATCTTCCTGTTTGTCTAGTATTCCTCATGACAGTAAGTAGATCTTCCTGTTTGTCCAGTATTCCTCATGACAGTAAGTAGATCTTCCTGTTTGTCCAGTATTCCTCATGACAGTAAGTAGATCTTCATGTTTGTCCAGTATTCCTCATGATAGTAAGTAGATCTTCCTGTTTGTCCAGTATTCCTCATGACAGTAAGTAGATCTTCCTGTTCGTCCAGTATTCCTCATGACAGTAAGTAGATCTTCCTGTTTGTCTAGTATTCCTCATGACAGTAAGTAGATCTTCTTGTAGATTGAGTGCAGCTCTTAACAGTTATTCTCTCTCTCTCTCTCTCTCTCTCTCTCTCTCTCTCTCTCTCTCTCTCTCTCTCTCTCACCCTTTACCCACTCACTCACTCTTTCGCAGGAGAAGCCCAAGATGTTCCGCAAGGACGAGGAGATTACCCACGAGGCCGTGCTGAAGAAGCAGACAGAGATCCTATCAGCTCGTGGAAAGAAGAGCACAGACCGATCGGAGCAGATTGAGCTTTTCAAGGAGCTGCTGACAGTGTCTGATACGGCCAATCTCGGACCTGGCATTGCTGTCAAGATCATGTTCAACATCGTGTCAGCAATCTTTGACTACAACCCTAACATTGCCACCTGTATGAGGTCCGAGGTGTGGGAAAGGTGAGCGATGTGCATACGTCATGTTCTGTATACTCTGCTGCATTGTTGATGCCATGCAAATACTGTTGACGTCATACACATCATGTCAGCGTCATGTTTATTGACATGACAATTATTGTGGTGTAGCTCCTATCATCATTGACATCATATTGACCCTGTTAGCTTGTCAACATCAGGGTTTTCAATTTCTACATGATAATATATCAAGTCCAGATTCCTTCCTTTGCTGAATTAGGCTGGAATTATGGAGTTATGGATATTGTGGTCGATCGCAGGATTTGCAAAACACGAGTACTGTCAACTTAGCTTCAACAGATATTGTACAAATCTTTTCATGTTTCTGATCAAAGTACTCACATGATTTGATGGACTTCGCAAAGTAAGACCCATTTTGTGACAATTGATCAGATTGTCATATAGCTGGAATATTGCTGAGTGCGCGTTCAACAACAAACCAACCAAACCTACCTTTGCTGAATTAGGCTGGAATTATGGAGTTATAGTTTGGCTGGACTTACGAGTCTATGCGTAGTCCAATCAAAATCGCATAGTGAAATCGACATCTGGTTTGTAAACTGCTAGGCAGATTTTGGTTGATGGCAGGAATTGTACCGTCAACTGAACTTCAACAGATATTGAACAAATCTTTTCATGTTTCTTATAAAAAAAATTCACATGATTTGATGCTCTTCGTGAAATAAGACCCATTTTGTGACAATATAGATCTTGATTATTGATCAGATCGTCTTGACTGGGCACCGTCATTTTGTTTGAAGCAAATGCAAGTGATATGAGAGGTGGAATCTGATTGGTCAGTAGATGAGACATTGATGGTACTAGGGATGTGCGGTTTTATCGGTATACCGGTATATTGCAATACAAATGCATCACGATACGTATCGTGATACGTTTTTGGTGTACCGGTTTTTCCCTCATTATTCAAACTGTGACTGACATGTATATGCCATGATGTATAGTCTTACCTTATTAAATCAAAACAAAGACAAAACAAATGCTTCATACTCTTTAGTTGATTTTGAATAATTTTGATAAAAATAATTGTACAATTTATTAAAATTGGTTCATAATTTTGACCAAATTGTTAACATTGCAGCTTTCATATTAATATTTGTCAAAGGGATATGAAAAAAAAGCTTTTCTCTTGGTAGAAATTATTTCCCAATATATTGCAAACATATTGTAATATGTTTTTGAAATATTGCAATATATCGCAATACACATTTTGGTCCAATTCCCAACCCTAGAATGTACAAACCTCATAAAGACCGTCTCAGTGGTCCAGTGGTAGAGCGTCCCCCAGGAGAGCGGAAGGTTCGGTGTTCGATCCCCGGCCGTGTCATACCAAAAGACGTTAAAAGATGGTACTTGTTGTTACCCTGTCTGGCGCTCGACATTAAGGGGCTAAAACAAGGACTGGTCGGTTCGGAGTCAGTATACTGTGTCTGAGTGGGGTATTCATGTTAAACTGCGGCATGGTATCTCAGTGAGCTAGCACTATAAATCGGCATCAGTCCGGACTAGTACAAGCACATCAAGCTGACACACTGCGATATAACTGGAATATTGTTCAAAGCGACGTTAAGCTTGATGCACTCACTGTATGTTTATAGGGTAATGGCACTACGGGGACAGAAATGTGTGCACTCACGAAGATGTTTATGTGTGCCCTTTGGAAATATTGTACCAATTAGCATAATTAGAGGAATACTTTGATCCATCATTGACCTCGGCGGAAGTCATTTCACCAGGGCTAGATCATGGATAGTTGTAGGTTAGAAAAATTTACCCAGCCCTGTCTTTGAGACTGTTAAAACCCAGACTTATTTTATGATGCTCTCCCAGGAGATATCTCTAAATGTCACCCGATCACCTAAGCCCAAATTGGAAGTGTGCACTATGTGTGTTGCAGCTGTCTGGACAACGTGCAGATCCTGCTGGATATGCTGAAGGAAAACGATGAGATCGTCATTGGCGAGAACATCCCCGACGACACACAGATATTTGATGTATGTAACTAAAACCTGCTTAATTATTAGTCAGGGATTTGTCCCAGGGCTTGGTTTCTAAAAAAATCATGGGAGTAGCGATCTACTGAGCACTATGACGAATTTGTGAAATGGTTCTGTGATCTCTGCCTGTAGCCGCTTTCACATGAATAGAAGCCCTGTCTTTTGTGGTGAGTTGGACGTTGTGCTGTTTGTTGACAGAAAGCTCCGTACCGCGTGCGAGGCTGCATCCTCACCATGGTTGAGCGGATGGATGAAGAGTTCACCAAGATGCTGCAGGCCTGTGATGCTCACAGTACAGAGTATGTAGACAGGTGGGTACAGTGTGTGGACCAATGCCGGTCGTAAGAAGTCAGGCTTTGTGCACAGAGTATGTAGACAGGTGGGTACAGTGTCTGGACCAAATGCGGGTCGTAAGAAGTCAGGCTTTGTGCACAGAGTACGCAGACAGGTGGGTACAGTGTCTGGACCAATGCGGGTCGTAAGAAGTCAGGCTTTGTGCACAGAGTATGCAGACAGGTGGGTACAGTGTCTGGACCAATGCTGCTCGTAAGAAGTCAGGCTTAGTGCACAGAGTATGTAGACAGGTGGGTACAGTGTCTGGACCAATGCGGGTTTTACGAGGTCAGGCTTAGTGCAAAGAGTATGCACACAGCTGGGCACAGTGTCTGGACCAATGCGGGTCGTAAGTGGTCAGACTCTGTAACTTGGTTAATTGCCAGCATTCCTAATGGTGTTCATCATTGCCCACTGTATCCATGGGTTTTACGGTCCAGAATTCATTAGTTCCTGCCGCCGTCATATGGATGGAATATTGCTGAGTGAGGCGTTCAACAGTATGTAGGCAGGGAGGTACATGTCATCAGCTGCCAGGATGCAGATGTGGAGGATGAGGTTGTAAGCTGCATGTGCTGGTGTTGTCAGGTTGAAGGATGAGCCGCGTGTGGCAGACCTCACTAAGCAGCTGGAGAAGTACCTGGAGACGCGCGCCACCACGGACGAGATGTGTCGGGTGTACCTGCGCCGCATTGAGCAGACCTACTACAAGGTATGTCGATCATCATCACAGAGAGATCTCTTGTCCCACTCACCACTGCATCAGGTTGTGTTTACAGGCTACTCTTAATGTATAGGCGACCCGTGAAGATCCGGGGTAGAATAGGTCTTCAGCAACCCATGCTTGTTGTAAGAGGCGACTAACGGGATCGGTGGTCAGGGACGCTGACTTGGTTGATTCATGTCATCGTATCCCAATTGTGGTCAGAAGATGATTTGGTGTCAATGGTTTGGTGAATTGGGTTCGTTAAGATTGGGTTCCAATTGTGTGGATCAATGCTCATGATGTCAATCACTGGATTGTCTGGTCCAGACTCGATTATTTACAGACCACCGTCATATAGCTGGAATATTGCTGAGTATGGCGTTCGTTAAACAACAAACAAACAAACAAATGCATAGTCCAGTATCAGGTTGTGGTTACAGGCTACTCGTGCATGGTCAGTTTTATGATACTGTAAAGTGTTCAATAAGAAATTTTCCAAATATATAAAGGATATGGGTGTTCCAGATATAGACACTGTACTTTATGGGTAACTTCAAAGTGGTAAACATCTGAGATCTGCATCACTTTGGGCTTTCCTCTTAGCTGACATGCTGTGGTATTACTAGAATACTGATCACGGCAGGTTGAACCGAACTCACACATTCTGAATTTAAGAAAATAAGAACTTGAAAAAAAATGATTGTTTTCCCAAATTTGCTAGGCAAGGACACGTAGTTTGGAATCCTTGATAAATCACAGCACTTGTACTTTGTTATTCCTGGATGAGGACCTACGTTACCTTGATGATGTGCTTAACAAGTCTGTGTGTATTGTGTTTGTGCAGTTTGACTACAAAGCCATGGAGGGTGTGGAGCCGGACCCGGCTGAGGAGAACCCCGAGCAGATGATGGACCGACTCTGCAAGTACATCTACGCCAAAGACAGCACGGACAGACTGCGTACCCGCTCCATGCTGTGCCACATCTACCACCACGCCCTGCATGACCGTTGGTACCAGGCTCGGGACCTCATGCTCATGTCACACCTGCAGGACACAATCCATCACTCGGACGTACACACACAGGTCAGCCTTCATCACTCCGACCGTCGCCCAACTCTCAGTCATGCTCATGTTTTTTTCTCCATCGGGGTTCCAGGTTAACTTGGTCCCCAGCAACCTGTGATGGTTGTGACAGTGGATCGGGTGGTCAGGCTCCAGGGCCCACTTGCACAAAGCGATCTTAGCGCTAAGACTATTGTAAGCCTATGTTTAAGTATGGGAGTTACGGTCATCTTAGCGCTAAGACTATCATAAGCCTATGTTAAAGTATGGGAGTTATGGTCATCTTAGCGCTAAGTTCGCTTTGTGCAAGTGGCCCCAGGTCAGGTTGAATGCATATCATCCTGAGCTTACAGCGTAGGCGTAGTCATGATATCAATCACTGATTTGTCTTGACTTGATTATTTACAGGCCGGACCCCTGAAGATCTGGGGTAAAATAGGTCTTCAGCAATCCATAATTGCCGTAAAAAAGAGACTATGCTTGTCGTAAGAGGCAATAACGGGATATGATGGTCAGACTCACTGACTTGGTTGATGCGTGTCATTGTATCCCAATTGTATGGATCGATGGTCATGATGTCAATCACTGGATTGTCTGGTCCAGACTCGATTATTTACAGATAGCAGTCACATAGCTGGAAAATTGCTGAGTGCAAACAACAAACAAAACATACAAAATATTTACAGGCTGCCTTCATATAGCTGGAATATTGCAAACAAAGCAAAACTCATGTCAATTTCTCGGTTGTCACATTTTTACACAAGGAGATAGTGGAGACCAATCTGCAAAGGTACTTACAATAAAGTATTACTGAACATAAAAAACTACTCTTGTCATGTGGCTTAGATGATGATGATGATGATGATGATGATTGGCTGCAGATCCTGTACAACCGCACTCTTGTGCAGCTGGGTCTATGTGGGTTCCGGCGTGGCTTCATCCGAGATGCTCACAACGCCCTGGTTGACATCCAGAGCAGCAACAGAGCCAAGGAGCTGCTTGCACAGGTGAGGGAAGAGAGGCTCCGTTCTGCAATTTCACATTTGTGATTGCTTACTTTGATCATTCTTGACATTATCTCCTACTTGCCCATAACTTCAATAGAAATCTCTATCAGGATTACTTGTTAGACTCTGTCCCCAGTAACCTATGCTAGAGGGTGGTCAGGCTCTATGACTATGTTGATTGTGTGTCATTGTGCCCTAATGGTGTGGATTAGTGCTCAATCACTGGCCCAGACTCGATTGTTTTACAGGGTGCAGATATTTAGCTGAATATTGCTGAGTACAGTGTTAAATACTGTAAATCTGTAAAATATTGTGTCTCCAAATTAATAAGACTGCTGTCCCCTAGCCAAAAATGCGACTCAATACCAGTGCAACAAATATGCACAGATTTCGTTTTCTTTGTTTTATCGGTAAGTGCATACTTTGCGTGATGCAAGTCAGGTCATGGTGGGCAGAAGTAACATGTCATGGAACTGTTTCAGGGACTGCTTCCTCAGCGCCAACATGAACGTAGTGCCGAGCAGGAGAAGATCGAGAAGCGACGTCTGCTGCCGTACCACAAACACATCAATCTGGAGCTGCTGGAGTGTGTGTACCTAGTGTCGGCTATGCTGCTAGAGATCCCTTACATGGCAGGTGAGTCACTGTATGCGGTGTACCTTGTCTAGTGTCTGCTGTGTACCCTGTCTAGTGTCTGCTGTGTACCTTGTCTAGTGTCTGCTGTGTACCCTGTCTAGTGTCTGCTGTGTAGTGTGTGCACCCTGTCTAGTGGAGTGAGTGCACCCTGTCTAGTGTCTGATGGAGTGTGTGTACTCTGTCTAGTGGTGTGTGTGTACCCTGTCTACTGGAGTGTGTGTACCCTGTCTAGTGTCTGGTGGAGTGTGTGTACCCTGTCTAGTGTCTGGTGGTGTGTGTGTACCCTGTCTACTGGAGTGTGTGTACCCTGTCTAGTGTCTGGTGGAGTGTGTGTACCCTGTATAGTGGAGTGAGTGTACCCTGTCTAGTGGAGCGTGTACCCTGTCTAGTAGAGTGTGTGTACCCTGTCTAGTGTCTGGTGGAGTGTGTACCCTGTCTAGTGTCTGGTGGAGTGTGTGTACCCTGTCTAGTGTCTGGTTGAGTGTGTGTACCCTGTTTAATGTCTGGTGGAGTGTGTGTAGCCTGTTTAATGTCTAGTGGAGTGTGTGTACCCTTTTTAGTTTCTGCTGGAGTGTGTGTACCCTGTCTAGTGGAGTGTGTGTACCCTGTCTAGTGGAGTGTGTACCCTGTCTAGTGTCTGATGGAGTGTGTGTACTCTGTCTAGTGGTGTGTGTGTACCCTGTCTAGTGGAGTGTGTGTACCCTGTTTAATGTCTAGTGGAGTGTGTACCCTGTCCAGTGTCTGGTGGAGTGTGTGTAACCTGTCTAGTGGAGTGTGTGTAACCTGTCTAGTGGAGTGTGTGTACCCTGTCTAGTGTCTGGTGGAGTGTGTGTAACCTCTCTAGTGTCTAGTGGAGTGTGTACCCTGTCCAGTGTCTGGTGGAGTGTGTGTAACCTCTCTAGTGTCTAGTGGAGTGTGTACCCTGTCCAGTGTCTGGTGGAGTGTGTGTAACCTGTCTGGTGGAGTGTGTGTACCCTGTCTAGTGGAGTGAGTGTACTCTGTCTAGTGGAGTGTGTACCCTGTCTAGTGGAGTGTGTACCCTGTCCAGTGTCTGGTGGAGTGTGTGTACCCTGTCTAGTGTCTGGTGGAATGTGTGTACCCTGTCAAGTTGTGTGTGTGTACCCTGTCTAGTGGAATGTGTCTACCCTGTCTAGTGTCTGGTGGAGTGTGTGTACCCTGTCTAGTGGAGTGTGTGTAACCTGTCTAGTGGAGTGTGTGTACCCTGTCTAGTGTCTGGTGGAGTGTGTGTAACCTCTCTAGTGTCTAGTGGAGTGTGTACCCTGTCCAGTGTCTGGTGGAGTGTGTGTAACCTGTCTGGTGGAGTGTGTGTACCCTGTCTAGTGGAGTGAGTGTACTCTGTCTAGTGGAGTGTGTACCCTGTCTAGTGGAGTGTGTACCCTGTCCAGTGTCTGGTGGAGTGTGTGTACCCTGTCTAGTGTCTGGTGGAATGTGTGTACCCTGTCAAGTTGTGTGTGTGTACCCTGTCTAGTGGAATGTGTCTACCCTGTCTAGTGTCTGGTGGAGTGTGTGTACCCTGTCTAGTGGAGTATGTACCCTGTCCAGTGTCTAGTGGAGTGTGTACTTTGTCTAGTGGTGTGTGTGTACCCTGTCTTGTGTCTGGTGGAATGTGTCTACCCTGTCTAGTGGAGCGTGTGTACCTTGTCTAATGTCTGGTGGAGTATGTGTACCCTGTCTGCTGGAGTGTGTGTACCTTGTCTAGTGTCAGGTGGAGGGTGTGTACCCCGTCTAGTGGTGTCTGCTGGAGGGTGTGTACCCTGTCTGGTGGTGTCTTCTAGAGTGTGTGTGTACCCACTGTCCGTCATGCTGCACGAGATACCACACACGAGTCTGTAGCCTATGATGTGTGATTGCAGCTCATGAGCTTGATGTGCGCCGTCGTATGATCAGCAAGAACTTCCACCACGTGATGAAGATGAGTGAGAGACAGAACTTGACTGGCCCCCCAGAGAGCATGAGGGAGCATGTGGTGGCAGCGTCCAAGTCCATGAAGACCGGTGACTGGAAGGCCTGCAAGAACTTCATCATCAATGAGAAGATGAATGCCAAGGTACAGCTAATACCATATTAAGTCTCTACTGCGTACCTTCCCTTGGACTTTAGACCCATGAAGATCCGGGGAAGAATAGGTCTTCAGCAACCCATGCTTGCCGTAAGGCTACTGTGCTTGTTGTAAGAGGCAACTTACGGGATCAGGTGGTCAGGCTCGCTGACTTGGTTGATGCATGTCATCATATCTCAATTGCGTGGATCGATGCTCATGATATTAATCACTGGATTGTCTGGTCTGGATATGCTGTCATATAGCTGGAATATTGCTGAGTGCCGCGTTAAACAACAAACCAACCCTTGGACTTTAATTGTATTGTTGATTGTGATCTCTTGATATTACTTCCACCATGGGACTCTAAACTCTGGTCTGAACTTCCCATTACATTTGAATGATGACTTTGATTCCAGTGTACGGTGATTTTCATTCTGCTTGGTCATAACTGATATATCACTTGGAGATTAGTTGATATACTCTCGCCTCCCTGACACATTGGGCGCCCCAATCGTCTAAGGCAACGCGATTGACTGTGGAATTGTGTCCCTTAGTTGTACCAGAATCCTATCTTTGGGTGTGAATCCCAAATTTGGCCATATTATTTCTAGGTTTGTCAGCACCCTATCCATCCTCGTGGGTAGCAACAAAGTGGTAAACTGGCTTTCCTCACACATCTAGCTGACATACCGTGATATAAGTGAAGTACTGCTCATGTGAAAGGGTATGCAGGGTTCATACAAGCTTGAAAGGCTTTAAATATTAAGGTCCCTCTTGAAAAACCTTGATATTTAGTGTCAATCTTAAAATGCCTTGAAAATGACCAAAACAGCTCTTGAATTTGTACAAAGTGACATCTACATGTACTTGTTAATAAAGGTTTAAGTGTGATTTACCACAGTGATAGACCTGTGGGCTAAAGACCATGAAAAGTTCATGACAGACTTAATTTTTATTTGTTGGTTGTGAAAATAAACCTTGTTGGAACATTTGTGATGTTCTTACTGCATTTTTGGTCTTACGACTAATGTATATATAGTATGCTGCATTCAAACAAAATATTGACTGACTAAGGCTAATAAAGCAACTAATAAAGCCTTGAAAATGACAGATGAAAGCCTTGAAAAGGCCTAGAATGTTAGTGACCATAGTGCCGTTGTACAAAACAACCTCAGCGCTACAACTGTCGTCAGTTTATGTTAAGGTATGGTAGTTAGGATCACCTTAGCGCTAAGATTGCTTTATACAACGGCACCCAAATCAGTATGAACCTTGGGATGGATTGTCGTCCTGTGTGTTGCAGGTTTGGGATCTGTTCTACCACAAGGACCAGGTACGTGACATGATCACCAACAAGATCCAGGAGGAGAGCCTCAGGACGTACTTGTTCACCTACAGCAGCGTGTATGACTCCCTCTCCATGGACACACTGTCAGAGATGTTTGAGCTCAACAAGCCTGTGGTGCACTCCATCATCAGCAAGATGATCATCAACGAGGAACTCATGGTATGATGGTCACACAAGATGGTGGACTTTGTTGACAGTGCAGCTGGGAAACTTTAACAACTATTGTACATCCAGCGTCTTTATTATTATGAATTTAATATATTAAATGTGATAGGTTAAATAGGCCATCTAAATGCATGCCAGAAATTTGATATTGATGATATTGTGGCATTAGAAAACTGAATTTTATTTTATAATTTTAATGTAGAACCAGGCTCATATACTACTGAAAAACATTAAGGACCACTTGATTCTGGGCAAAAAAGTTAAGGAGCACCCGATTCTGGCATGCCAGATTAACTACAGTATGGTAATACTAAAGAATAGTGTGGTCCTTAACTTCTTTTCAGTATTGGGGGCGGTCGTGTAGCCTAGTGGTTAAAGCGTTCCCTCGTCAAGCCGAAGACCCGGGTTCGATTCCCGACATGGGTACAATATGTGAAGCCCATTTCTGGTGTCCCCCGCCGTGATATTGCTGGAATATTGCCAAAAGCGGCGTAAAACCATACTCACTCACTCTTTTCAGTAGTAAATAATAGCTACCATTTCCATCTACCCATCTACTGCGTATCCCAGATGTGTGGGTCGATGCTTATGGTGTCAATCACTGGATTGTCTTGTCCAGACAACATTATTTACAGACCGCTGTCATATAGCTGGAATATTGCTGAGTGCGGAATTAAACAACAAACAAACAAACTTTTATTTTTTTTACAATGTAGTCATGTCCCTTCACAAACACAGGGTCTGAGTGTGATGCTGTATTGCAGGCCTCCCTGGACGAGCCGACGCAGACGGTGGTGATGCACCGCACGGAGCCGAGCCGCCTGCAGTCCCTGGCCCTGCAGCTGTCGGAGAAGGTGGCCACCCTGGTGGAGAATAACGAGCGCATCATGGAGATGAAGCAGGGCAACTTCTACTTCCAGAAGTCCAGTAAGTGCTCTCTCCGTCTCAATGCGTCTGGGGTACACACACAGCTCAACACATCACAGAACATTCACTGTCTGTACTGGATAAATAGGTTACACAGTCAAACCGGGATTATTCTAAAGAACGACCACCTCTGTGGTCGGATGATAGAGTGTCAGCCCGGAGAGCGGGGTTTGATCCACGGCCGCATCAAACCTCAAGACATTATGGTACTTGTTGTTACCCTGTCTGGCGCTCGGCATTAAGGGGCTAAAACAAGGACTGAAGTCAGTATGCTGTGTCTGAGTTGAGTATTCATGTTAAACTGTGGCATGGTAGTTCAGCTCACACACACACACACACACACACACACCCCTTTATAAAAGTAGAGGCTTTTTCTTACTCTACTGTTTGCATGATGTTCATTTGTGTTTGTTGTTAAGTATTAACCTGTACTAATTTTTGCACAGAGCTATATATTTGACTGGTAAGCTTGTATGTGGTGGTGGGTGGTTCATGTGGTTGTGGTGGTGGGTGAGGACAGTGTGGGGCAGGTGCTTCTTATGCTCCTTGTTGCTGTCTCTGTGACCCAGGGGTAGACACTGATGGTCAAATCCTTAGTCTGCAGCTCATTTTGGACTTGTGGTTTATGTAAAATAAAAAGAGTTTGGTAGAAGACAACTCGTCTTTTTGGATTTTCACTCTTCTTACAATATCTAACCAGTGGCTGTGACTACCCTGCTGTCGTGGGCAGTGTTTTGGTGATATGTAGCATTGGAAAACATTATTTGTAATACTGTCTCAACAGGTACGCAGAGCCTGAGTTAAAAGTGAATGTTAAAGGTATCCTGAGGCTGGGGTGTCATTATGTTTGGGACCGACCTTTTGATATTCTGGGAGGGGCCTGTGATTTTATTGAAAAACATTAATTGTCCCCGAAAATGTTTGGATAAAATCATTATGCTTCAGACATTTTGAAATAAGAATTGTCTTTTACAAATATTACATTGTTGCAATGCGTTTTTTACCAAAAAAATATTCAGGTTCTGTTCATTGTTCATAGTTAAAAAAATATCTGTTTTTGCAACTCCAGCCGAAAAATATCTTGTCTCCATTCAAATGAAAGTTCAATCCCTCCCTTATCAATAATCGTTCATATTATATTTGGCAGCTAAAAAACACAAATACAGACAAGTTTTGGAAATGTGTGGGCTTGCAGTAAACGATTTTGAAGTGATTTCTTGCACTCTATGACTTATACTCACATTGTAACATTTTCCAGTAGTAAAGTTTTGTATATTATGGAACAACTGAATTCTTCATAAGTTGTCTAAGGCACTGCAGTTCACTTTGTAGAGTTGCACCTCTTGGCCACACAAGAAATCCATGATTATGGGTTCTAATCCCAGTTGGCCCTGAGTATATTTCTAGGTTTGTCAGCACCATACCTGTGCGAATGGGTTCACCAAAGTGGCAAACATCTGCGACCTGCATCACTTCAGGCTTTCCTCCCACATTTAACTGGAATACTGTTCAATGTGGCATGACAACCCAACTCACTCACTCACTCACTCACTCACTCACTCACTCACTCACTCACTCACTCACTCACTCACTCACTCACTCACTCACTCACTCACTCACTCACTCACTCACTCTTCATAACAATCCCGCTTGCAACACAGAAAGAGGGTCTGAGTAATGTATTGGGATGTGAATTTTTCCTAGTGGTTAAAGCGTCACGCCAAAGACCCGGGTTCGATTCCCGACATGGGTGCAATGTATGAAGCCCGTGATATTGCTGGAATATTGCTAAAAGTGGCGTAAACTCACTCACCATACTCACTCACTCACTCACTCACTCACTCACTCACTCACTCACTCACTCACTCACTCACTCACTCACAGGTTTAAACTTTCACTGTGAATCACTAGGTTTAGTTTGTTGTTTAATGCCATACTCAGCAATATTCCAGCCATTTGATATTGGTCTGTAAATAATTGACTCTGGACTTGACAATCCATTGATTGACATTGTGAGCAGCGTTTCTCCGGTTTTGGTACAATGACACACAATAAGCAAAGTCTGTGAGTCTCGACCACTTGATCCATTTGATTGCCTCTTACGAAAACTCTTCTGAGAGTCAATTCTAACCTAGAATCTCCAAAGGGGAGTCATCAGTTTTGGGGTAGCCTAGTAGTTAAAGCATTTGCTCGCCTAGGTTCGATTCCCCACATTGGTACAATGTGTGAAGCCCATTTCTGCCGCCCCAGCACATGATATTGCTGGAATATTGCTAGAAGTGGCGCAAAAATCATACTCACTCACTTGTTTTAATTTAGAGGATTGTGTAGATTGAAGAATTCTGACATGATGTAACTCATTGATCTTTGATGACATGGTGTGTAGGATCCTTCTCAAGCTTTGCATGCTGTATGTGAGAGAAACCCATGTTGTTGGAGCGTGATCCACCTCTCCGAGGGGCGGTGGAGTGGCCTAGTGGTTAAAGCGTTCGCTCGTCACGCCGAAGACCCAGGTTCGATTCCCGACATGGGTACAATGTGTGAAGCCCATTTCTGGTGTCCACCGCCATGATATTGCCCGAATATTGCTAAAAGCGGCGTAAAACCATACTCACTCACATACCTCTCAGAAGTAATACGCCAGGAGAAATTGGGTTTGCATGTCCATAACGACTCCCCCGTGCATGTAGACGACAACCAAAGCACATTGAGTTGGCTTGATTGTTTCACGGTCCTCCAAGTGACGGCTGTGAAAAATGAAGGTACCCATAACGTAAACTACAGTTTATCCGTTGCTGTGTTTGTATTTGCATACCGTTACACTGTTGTGATTTATTTTTTTCAGATAATCAAGGCTACCAGCAGAACCAGAACTGGAGTAAGTATTGGAACACAAGCCTAATGAGAGCACTGTAGGTCCATCAGTGTGGAAGCCTGTGTAGGTTGCCCCTGTGTAGGTGTTCCGGTCTAGGTTCTGTGTAGGATGTCACCTGTGTAATGCCCCTATATTGCCCCTGTGTAGATGTGTCACGGACAGACAGGAGCCTTTGTGTAGGTGTTCCTGTCTAGGGTTTTCCTGTGTAGGATGTCACCTGTGTAATGCCCCTATAATGCCCCTGTGTAGATGTGTCACAGACGGACGGGAGCCTTTGTGTAGGCGTTCCTGTCTAGGGTTCTGTATAGGATGTCACCTGTGTAATGCCCCTATAATGCCATGGGATGCCACTGTGTAGATGTGTCACGGACAGACGGGAGCCTTTGTGTAGGTGTTCCTGTCTAGGTGTTCCTGTCTAGGGTTTTCCTGTGTAGGATGTCACATGTGTAATGCCCCTATAATGCCATGGGATGCCCCTGTGTAGATGTGTCACAGACAGACGGGAGCCTTTGTGTAGGTGTTCCTGTCTAGTTTTCGCCTGAGTAGGATGTCACCTGTGTAATGCCCCTATATTGCCCCTGTGTAGATGTGTCACGGACAGACAGGAGCCTTTGTGTAGGTGTTCCTGTCTAGGGTTCTCCTGTGTAGGATGTCACATGTGTAATGCCCCTACAATGCCATGGGATGCCCATGTGTAGATGTGTCACGGACAGACGGGAGCCTTTGTGTAGGTGTTCCTGTCTAGGTGTTCCTGTCTAGGGTTCTGTGTTGGATGTCACCTGTATAATGCCCCTATAATGCCCCTGTGTAGATGTGTCACGGACAGATGGGAGCCTTTGTGTAGGTGTTCCTGTCTAGGTGTTCCTGTCTAGGTGTTCCTGTCTAGGGTTCTGTGTAGGATGTCACCTGTGTAATACCCCTATAATGCCACTGGGATGCCCCTGTGTAGATGTGTCACGGACAGACGGGAGCCTTTGTGTAGGTGTTCCTGTCTAGGGTTCTGTGTAGGATGTCACATGTGTAATGCCCCTATAATGCCACTGGGATGCCACTGTGTAGATGTGTCACAGACGGCCGGGAGCCCTTGGTGCCAATTTCTCTCATGTTTCATCTTCATCTAAGGGCATGTTTGATTGTTTTGTGTTTTGAAGTATGTTAAATTTGCCATGTTTGAGGTTATTCTTCAAATTGTAGGCCGGCGAGATGGGGATCATCAGAAAGGTGGTTGGAGTAAGTGTATTGTATTTCAAGGCCTCCTGTTTCCTGATATTACATGAATGAGGTTTCAGTCGTCTTATTGAATATTTATATTCAGATGTTAGATTTCTGAAATGGTTTGTCTCATGATCAATGTTTGTTTGAAAACAGCTGCATGGTTTTGACACGACCTCTATTTCTCTAGTTTCTTATAAATTGGAAGGAACAGTACGTTCCGGGTTATTGGTGACCTTGACCTTGGCACTTGTGCTTTTGAAGCAGCAGACACACTTTCATGCTTTTAATTTTATATGACAAAACACACATAATCAGCTGCTGTTCGCTGTTGAGGAAATTCCTTATGGCTTATGTTACTTTTTCATAGAATGTTGTACTTCAGAGGTCAGGATGTTACATGATGATTTTTATTTGAGCCTAAGGGGAAGTTGTCTTTGTTCTTACCAACTTATCTGCTGTTTGATGTTTAACATGACCTCCTGATGACTTTATGTTCACTAAACGTGACAAAGGGTTTCAGTGATGGATGATATAATGTGAGGACATCGTGTCTCGGGATCAGTGATGGATGATATATAGTGAGGACATCGTGTCTCGGGATGAGTGATAGATGATATAATGCGGGGACATCGTGTCTCGGGATCAGTGATGGATGATATAATGTGAGGACATCGTGTCTCGGGATCAGTGATGGATGATATAATGCGAGGACATCGTGTCTCGGGATGAGTGATGGATGATATAATGCGAGGACATCGTGTCTTGGGATGAGTGATGGATGATATAATGTGAGGACATCGTGTCTCGGGATGAGTGATGGATGATATAATGTGAGGACATCGTGTCTCGGGATGAGTGATGGATGATATAATGTGAGGACATCGTGTATAGGGGATCAGTGATGGATGATATATAGTGAGGACATCGTGTATAGGGGATCAGTGCTGGATGAAACATAGTAAGGACATCGGGTTTAGGGGATCAGTGTTGGATGATATTTAGTGAGGACATCAAGTATAGGGGATCAATGTTGGATAATATTTAGTGAGAACATCGTGTATAGGGTATTAGTGATGGATGATATATTGTGAGACCATCGAGTAGAAGGGATCAGTGATGCATGATGTATAGTGAAGACATCGTGTATAGGGGATGAGTGATGGATGATATAATGTGAGGACATTGTGTCTTGGGATCAGTGATGGATGATATATTGTGAGACCATCAAGTAGAAGGGATCAGTGATGCATGATGTATAGTGAAGACATCGTGTATAGGGGATGAGTGATGGATGATATAATGTGAGGACATCGTGTCTTGGGATCAGTGATGGATGATATATTGTGAGACCATCAAGTAGAAGGGATCAATGATGCATGATGTATAGTGAAGACATCGTGTATAGGGGATGAGTGATGGATGATATAATGTGAGGACATCGTGTCTCGGGATCAGTGATGGATGATATATTGTGAGACCATCAAGTAGAAGGGATCAGTGATGCATGATGTATAGTGAAGACATCGTGTATAGGGGATGAGTGATGGATGATATAATGTGAGGACATCGTGTCTCGGGATCAGTGATGGATGATATATTGTGAGACCATCAAGTAGAAGGGATCAGTGATGCATAGTGAAGACATCGTGTATAGGGGATGAGTTATGTCTGATATATTGTGAGGACATCATGTATATAGGGGATAAGTGCTGACTCATCAAGCTTCATGTGGATCACAAATGAACTTTGGGAAGTGAGTTGAATTTCCAACTTTCACAAGTGTTCCAAGATGTTTTGTTTGCGCTGTCTGAGTATGCTCTTCTCATTGTAGACCGGCGTGACGGAGATCATCATAAACAAGGTGGTTGGAGTAAGTTTAAGGACATTGTTTGTCTGTTTCTATGTATTTGTTGAGGATAGGTGAATTTGACATTTTTTGCCCTCCTCCCTGATTGATTGTTAGATAATCTGCAGTGTTGTGTGTAGTTTGAGAGAAGTTGCAGATAATGCATTCGTCCATTAATCAATTTGTCTGTTGTTTCATGCAAGGGAGTGACATTGGTCCAAAATAAGGGACTGGTCATTTATTATAGGGGATTTGTCAGAGGGAATCTTTTGAGGGTCACCAAAACATATGGCAGTCTTTAGGGAGGGTCACAAAAAATAATACACATTTGGGCAGGGTCATGACAAAATGGACATTTTGTAATAAAATATAAAGTGCTTTTGCATTCTGTCTTATGAAAAAAAGCACATGGACATGGGTAGGGTCATCCAAAAAATATGACAAGTTTTTGGGGAAGTTCATTATTTCAGTACATTCGCACAACAGATCGAATGGTCAGGCTCGCTGACTTGGTTGACGCATGTCATATCCCAATTGCCTGGATCGATGCTCATGATGTCAATCACTGGATTGTCTGGTCCAGACTCGATTATTTACAGACCGCCGTCATATAGCTGGAATATTGCTGAGTGCTGCGTTCAACAACAAACAAACAAACAAAACATTCGCACATCAAGAAGCTTGCCAATGGCATGGATCTCTGGTCAGGGTTTCATTGACTGGTTGGCCCGTTCCAGTCTTGATTGTTTACAAGCTGATGTAGCTGGAATATTGCTGACTCCGTCCACATTAACCCTGTGAGGCCCATAAACAATACTATGTCTGAGTTTCTCCTTCTCCTTGTAGATCGTAGAGATGGAGATCATTACAAGCAAGGTGGTTGGAGTAAGTATGGCTGTCAAGGACTGTTCTGGAAGGAAGCTTTTGACTGTTTGTATGGTTGTTGGCAGGGCTTGAGTTAAGGAACTTAAGTCACCAGGTGTATGTTGACGTGAAAACCCAGTTGCACCAAACAAATCTAGGTTGAACCCTGGTCCCATCAATTGTGTAAGTTGAAACATGGCCTGCTGCCAGTGTCACGTGGATTAAAGACGCATTGCTGTAACATGTAATAGGAACATGTGCACATAATCTTGAAGTGCCCAAGAAATCAGGCTAAAGTGTGGACCAGTATGACAGGGTTTTACGGGATAAAGGGACTGGTTGGCTCGGAGTCAGTATGCTGTGCCTGAATGGGGTATTCATGTTAAACTACGGCATGGAATGTCAGTGGGCTTGCACTATAAATTCGGCATTAGTCCGGACTAGTACAAGCAGCCACACGCACATGTGCATGCACATCACTGTATAAGTGCATTAATCTTTGACGTGACGTTAAGCCCCATTTCACCTCACCTCACATACTGATACATTAAGACCTGAAGCTTTGAGGAACTGAAGGCGTCAGGGCTGCTTATGGTTTTGCAAGTACATGCAAACACCTCCAGTTGCTTCCATGGCAGGGGTCATGAAAAGGTTTGATACATTGCAGCTCCAAGTATATCTAGATATCTCTCAGGGATGGCGCAGCTAGAATGCTCTTCACATATCCTGGATGCTCAGTGTAGATAATGCTTGTTTGATGCCTGTCCTGTGCCTAATTGAAAATTGTTTTCATTATAGATCGGCGCGATGGGGATCAGAAGCAAGGTGGTTGGAGTAAGTATCAAGAGCCCCTCGGCTCAGTTACATTATTCTTTAGCTATCCTGGAAGCTTGGTGTAGCTAATGCTTGGCACAGCTGTACATTGCATTGTGCCTTCTTATTGTCAGGGCAATCGGGTAGCCTAGTGGTTAAAGCGTTCGCTCGTCACTCCGAAGACCCGGGTTCAATTCCCAACATGGGTACAACGTGTGAAGCCCATTTCTAGTGCCCCACCGTGATATTGCAAGAATATATCTAAAAGCAGCATAAAACCATACTCACTCACTCACTCTTCTTATTGTCTACTAGCCCTGGATAATTAGAGGTTTGCTGTTACTCTTTTGGATCTCTGTCCTTGCATTAATTGAGAATTGTTTTCATGTTATAGATCGTCGAGATGGGGATCAGAAACAAGGTGGTTGGAGTAAGTCTTATTTCTCAATTTCATTTACTAAGTGCCCCCCAGTGGCAGTTGGTTTAAGTCCCGGTCGCCCTCATCATGTCTCTGGGTTTGTCAACACCTACCCATAGTCAGGGATCACCTGCACCACTTTGGGCTTCCTCCCACATCCAGCCGACATGGCAGGGTGTAACTGAAATAAGGTTGAAAGTGGCGGTTATCCTGGCAGATGTCGTGTTGATGAGGACATTACTCTGATTACTGGTTAGTGGGCTCCATACTTGATCACACACTGACGCCACAGTGAAGGAGCAAGAGTTTATCAACATTGAAACACATCCCAGTAGTTTTTGTGAAGGGATTGCTGAGTGCTTTTTTTTCGGGGTAGTATTCTGTACAAGTCCTTGCAAGCAGGTGTTGTTTGAACTTTACAATGCTATCAAGATTTTGGAACTCCTTCAGTAAAGATTCTTAATCCTGTTGGACAGGCTTATCTAGCAAAGTCCAGCGTGAAGCCAGTTGTTTGTTGATAATTGCTGTTATTCTGTGATGAAATGTGATTTGTGGGCTTAGTAAGACCTGGTGTAAGAAACCACTATTCAATGCGTGGAGTTGTATCCCTCAGGTGCATCAGGAACCGATGACCATGGGCTCGAATACCAGTGGGCCCTGAATATGTTTCTGTGTTTGTCAGCATCATGCCCATGCTTGGTGGTTTTATCAAAGTGGTAAATGTCTGAGACCTGCATCTCTTCGCGCTTGCTACCAGTGAAGATAGGTCTTCAGCAACCAATGCTTGCCGTAAAAGGTGACTATGCTTGTTGTAAGAGGCGACTAATGGGATTGGGTGGTCAGGCTCGTTGATTTGTATCCCAATTCCTTGGATCGATGCTCATGATATCAATCAATGGATTGTCTGGTCCTGACTTGATTATTTACAGACCGCCATCATATAGCTGGAGTTTTGCTGAGAGTGGCGCTATACAACAAACAAACAAACAAACTTTGGGCATTCCTCCCACATCATACTGGCACACTGTGATATAACTGGCATACATTTCAAAGCAGTATTGAACCAAACTGACTGACTGACTGACTGACTGACTGACTCACTAATTATTTGTTTCATGTTACAGATCGGCGAGATGGAGATCACAAACAAGGAGGTGGTGGTTGGAGTAAGTTTACCAGTGAAGTTCTTTTAACTTTATTTCCCCGGTTGTCTAGCCAGTCATGTTGGTGGACCTCCAGTTTCCAGAATAGGTCTTCAGCAACCCATGCTTGCCGCAAAAGGCGACTATGCTTGTCGTAAGAGGCAACTAACATGATCGGGTGGTCAGGCTGATGATGTATGTCATCATATCCCAATTGTGTGGATCGATACATATGATGTCAATCAGTGGATTGTCTGGTCCAGACTGGACTATCTACAGACCGCCATCATGTAGCTGGAATATTGCTGAGTGTGGCGTTTAACAACAAACAAACAAACAAAGTTCCACATTGTAACATTTGTTTTTCTTACTTACATTGGAGGGATGGATGTGACATAAAAGATGATGACACTATTGTTATTTTCAGATCGCCAGGATCGAGATCGTGGACAGAACAATTGGAGTAAGTGACAGCATTGTTGTAGTGTAGCTTGTCCTGTACTGGCAGCCACCAAACCTGGCTTTCTGCAAAGTAGTTAGGAATTCTACCAAGTATGCTAAGAGAAGCAAGCTGTTCAGGGCCCCAATCCACAAAGTGACATTAGTGCTACGACTGAAGTGATATGTTAAAGTATGGAAGTTATGATCATCTTAACGCTAAGAACGCTTTGTGTAACAGGGCCCTGAACTATGTTTCTGACTGCAGACATGCTGAAAGGCTGTAAAATCATGAATGTCCCTCGCCTTTCAGTTTTGAAACCGGGGTGGTCGAGTAGCCTGGTGGTTGTAGCGTTCGCTCGTCACGCCAAAGACGTGGGTTTGATTCCTGACATGGGTACAATGTGTGAAGCCCATTTCTGGTGTCCCCTGCCGTGATATTGCTGGAATGTTGCTAGAAGTGGCGTAAAACCTCACTCACTCACTCACTCAATTTTGAAACCAGTAATGGGCATCAAACACAAATCAAACACAAATCAAACACAAATCAAAACCTCAAGCTGAAATGATGATTCTCTTTGTATATTGTGGGACTGTCTTTCATTCCTCCTATCTTGGTTCCAGACCGGAGGGGCCGTCAACAGAGAGCATACTAAGACTGTACACTGGGGGCGGACTTGTGATGGAGATGTCCCATGGGGTGTCCAGTGGGTGCTGGTGTCTGCTTGTGTTCCTTGTGTTACTATCTGGGGGCTGAGTCAGTCGAGCAGACTAAAGACTCCGATATAACTGGCTCCAGTTGTCCAGCAGACTATTTATGAAGACATTGACAGGTGGAAGATATCCGTGTGGTTGTCGGTAGTATATCAGTGACCAATCCACGTGGGTTTGGGGTTAACAATAATTTTCAAATCCTTTGCTATTTCATGATTGTCATTGGATGGAGGAAGATTTTTAAGATGTTAAGATGTAAAACGACGTCCATATAAGTGATGATTTTTATGTTTCTCCTTTACGAAGACAATTGTAAAATACAATTTTCACATGTGCTTCTCCAGTGTCAGTTTTTGATGACATTTTGCTATTGTTAGATGTATCATGTTACATGCAATTGAAGTTTGTACATCGAGTACAATGATTCAGTTATCTTTATCATCCTGTCTGTTTACGATGTGCAAAAATCAAATTCAAGGAAAGTAATATGTACTGTAAAAAATACTAATAAACTATTGTAAAGTTATCCAGCATTTTGTGTGGTACTTATCATTGGGTCGATGGGGTAGCCTTGTCATGCCGTAGGAATTCTGCCAGTCAACACCAGTGCTCTACAATGTCCTACATTCAGGACACACACTCCCCGCATACCAGAATAACACCTTCTGCAGTCAGAACAGACACACTCATATACCAGAATAACATGTTCTACAGTCAGAACAGACACACTCATAAACCAGAATAACATGTCCTACTGTCAGAGCACACACTCCCCGCGTACCAGAATAACATGTCCTACAGTCAGAGCACACACTCCCCGCATACCAGAATGACATGTCCTACTTTCAGAGCACACACTCCCCGCGTACCAGAATAACACATCCTACTGTCAGAACAGACACACTCCTTGTGTACTAGAAAACATGTTCTTTTGTCTGAACAGACGCATTCATAGTGTGCCAGAAGAACACATTCTACTGTCAGAAAAGACACTCCAGGTTTTGGAGGGCAAGGATGGCCCATTTGTCTCAGGCGCCACAATTCGCTGTGCAGAGTTGTGTCCCTTGGGCACACCAGAGTCGTGATTGTGGGTTCGAATCCTGGTTCGCCCCGATTATGTTGCAAGGTCTGTCATCACTGATGTCAAGTCTTTGAATGATGTTTTGAAGTGAATTCACATAAGAGAGAATATAGGGATGTCAAGTGTATTCTGAGGAACACAATGTTTCGGAGTTTCATATAAAAACACGTGATGAGAAGATCTGGGGTAGAATTTGTCTTCAGCAACCCATGCATGCCATGAAAGGCGACTATGCTTGTCGTAAGAGGCGACTAACGGGATCGGGTGGTCAGGCTCGCTGACTTTGTTGATGGATGTCATTGTATCCCAATTGTATGGATCGATGGTCATGATGTCAATCACTGGATTGTCTGGTCCAGACTCGATAATTTACAGATAGCAGTCATATAGCCGTAGTATTATTGATTTTCATTATAAACAGTAACAGAAGGGTCACTGGGCATTACTACTGAAACAACATACTGGCCCCAATAGATGGCCACGTTTTGTCTTTCAAGAATATAACGCTCGTGGCCACCGTGCACATATCGTAACTTACTACCACCAGCAGCAAACATCATCAGAATGCTATGGCCAGCCATGAGTCCTGACCCTTCCCTCATAAAGCATGTCTAAACCATGACCCAGGAACGTGTACCCCGACGTGAAAGGCCTCCCACAACGTTAGCCGAAGTGGCCAAGGCGCTGCAAAAGGAATGGACAAGACTCCCTCAAATTGTCATGGGGAGATTGATTCGGATCATGCCACGCAGTATAGACGAGTTTTTGACCAAATCTTTGGGACACGACTCATTAGTGAAGTCATCTCAAACGTTAACCCCTGTCGTCTATCTTGGTTGTGTTCGTCCTCATGATACACAGCCAATATGTTCTGTAGAGTGTCATGTAGCACTGCTCCTTCCTTGGTCTTATCCATGCGTTACCATCGGCCGATACATCTTTGTATTTCTGTAATCATCAGTAACTTTCGAATATCGCCTACTTTGTTTTCAGGTCACTTGATCGCGGAACTGATGTTCATAAGCGTTTGAACGACACATTTTGGCATTCATACGTTTTTCACCCGACTGTTCTTGAAACGACGCAAACACGTACGGACTATACTTCCACAATACTGGCGAAAACCACGGGAGTTCTCCATCGCATGAAGAAAATTAGAAGCTGTTTTTTTCAGATTTTAGTTCCTTTAATCTTGAACACGATGTTTTATAATACAGTGATAAAAGTCAGTGCGTTTGACAAGCATGAATATCCTCGCTACAGCCCCAACCGAAACGCATGCATATATTGCATGCATTGAAAGTGTGTAGCAGAGCTACTTCGAAAGCTAAGATAAAGCTGGCACACCTAAAGAAAAAGCAAGCCTTGCAAGATTTTGTTCTACGCAGCACGTCACTATCATAAAGTCCCACTTCAAAGTACATGACGTCACTGACTGATACAGAAAGGCACCAACGTTCAAACCGACAGTTGTCTCCAAAACTTGAAATACACTGCCTCAGTCGAATGCTTTGAATAACCGAACCCCTGCATTTTGTAACCTTTAATTGTACACATCATTATTTCAAAACGACTAAACCAACAATGATTGAGAAAGAAGTTTTTTTCTATAAATATTAGCTTCCGTGGTGATGTGATTGTTAATCATCTGATTTAATCAGAGGTGGTTAATTGTGATTTAAAACCTCTGATTGACCAATGGTGTCAAGTATTTTACAAATTCAAGTTAGAATATCGATGCTAATATTCAGGGAATCAAACACAGAATAAAACTATAAGCCCCTAACATTATTACTGAATGGCGAGTATATGCACGAGTGTTATATGTCACATTAACTGCACCTATAATAGGAGAACCAAGGCTACCATGGTAGATGGTGCCTCTGTACAGTATCATGGTCGAGGGCCTCGCCTTGAGTGTGGTCATCTCTGTACTCATATTATTGGACACGGTCATCTTCATCAGTTTCTTCACATTGTTATAATACAACACACCAGCTGTCTGATCTAGGGTTACAGCATACATGTTACTTCCTGTGGCTAATGTTGCCAGGCCTTGACCATCATATGTCACTGTGAACAGTTCCCCGTCATAACACCCATATATCCTCTTTCTCCTTGTGTCTAAAGTTAGTTGTCTTGGATAGCTTCCGTACTTGGATAAGTCAATGATGGCAGTAAAGTCTTTCCCCTCTGAAGACATGCGGCTGATTGACTTTTGTGGTCGATATGTGGCTATGAATACGATGTCCCGCCCTTCATCCACTGCCATGCCATGTGTCTGTACACCTTCTCTTAGAACTGTCATGTGACTTGTATTCAGGGTAGATGCTAATATCCTATAAGGACTATATGACCCTATCAGAAGTTTCTTAGTCTTTGCTATATAGGCAACAGATATCACATTCTTCATGTTCAGATACTGATAGACACTGAAGGAATTACTGTGAATGTTGAGTTGACGGAACTGATGATGGGTGCTTGACCACACTGGAGCTATCAGGATCCTACTTTTCACCTCCTCTGGAGTAGGTGTAGTCACTGACGTTGTTGACAGAGGTGGCCTGGGTGTAATCGCTGACGTTGTCGGCAGAGGTGGTCTGGGTGTCGTCACTGACGTTGTCGACACAGGTGACCTGGAGGTTGAGGTAACATTCACGGCGGCGGGAGTAGGATACGGCACAACAGGAGCTGTTTTCAACTGTGATATTTGCGACTGACGCGTCTCCTTCAATGCCATGCATCGCTTAATGTCAGCCTTGAGATCAGCAGCGGTAACATCACACTTCTGTAGTTCCATTTCCAGCCTGCATTTGTCTCTGACCCAGTCGTCACTTGAGTTCTCTCGATTCCCAACATGTGCCCCCTTCAGAACAGATTCGTGAAATACGCTCGTCTCATCCTGGAAGTCTTCAAGTGATCTTGAGACATGATGAATCTGTCTCTTCATCTGATGGTAGCCCTGTTTTAGGTGTCGCAATTCGGAGACAACCTGACTTTTCACCATGTCTTGAAGAGACTCTCCTTGTAGAATCTCGGCCATGGCTTCTCTCACTTGATCCTGTATGTTTTCCTTTAATTCAGCTCTCAATGATGTTTTTGCGCCATCTATGATATTTAGTATCCTTTTCTCCATACGGAGTGTATCCACCTTGTTATCAAGCAGTTCCTCCTCAAACTGGTCCAATCTGTTTATGACAGACACAACACTGTCCTGACAGTTACAAAAACAGATTAGGGAGGTACATGTCAGCAACCAGGAAAGGCATTTCGACTCTGCCATCTTTCGAACAGGGTAATATCCTTTCAGTCGCGCTTCTCCGTTAGAGAGATGTGTACGTGTACCCGTCGTTATGACACGACGTGTTCTGCTACTGATTGGTTGGCGTAAGGTACAAGTAGACATTTACTAGGTTATCACGACGTGATCAGTGTTGCGGGTCACCCTCGGTCGTAATCTCCTGTGTGTAAAGAACACAGTGCTTTCACTATGTACTGATGCAGCATGTGCATACACCTCTTTCTTTGGTGATTTAAGTTTGTCACAGCATATACGCAAACAATGTATTTTACGGTTATTGTACTCCCTTTAGAATAAAACACACATTAAGTGGTCATCCCCCAAATCAACGTCAACCGTGCAAGCTAGGTCCAAGCTACATACTACTTTAACGATGTCACCCTGCTCATTGTGGCACAAACGATGTCGTCACAGTATATGTTGTCTCTGCGATTTCCTTTACGTTTTTAGGTATTTTAGTAACGCCAATTTTGCATTACGTAACCTCCTACATTTGCAAATATCATTATTGAATACTTGCTACCGATACTAATTGAGAAAGAAGTACTATTCTGTCTACATAAGCTTCTGTTGTAACAACGCCGTCTTATCAGCTGCGTCAATCTTAGTGTGACACAAAGAGACATGTTAACACAATCGGCGTGACACATGGAGACATGTTAACACAATGGGCGTGACACAGGGAGACATGTTAACACAATGGGCGTGACACATGGAGACATGTTAACACAATGGGCGTGACACATGGAGACATGTTAACACAATGGGCGTGACACAGGGAGACATGTTAACACAATGGGCGTGACACATGGAGACATGTTAACACAATGGGCGTGACACAGGGAGACATGTTAACACAATGGGCGTGACACAGGGAGACATGTTAACACAATGGGCGTGACACAGGGAGACATGTTCACACATAACCAGATGCAAGACAAGGGTCAGTGGTCAGTATGGTCAACACACCATACCTGACATCATGTTGTCCTAACTATACAAGATCATAATAACAGACCAGCTGTCCCCGGACGCGTCATACCAAAACACGTTAAATGATTGTACTTGTTGTTACCCTGTCTGGCGCTCGGGATTGAGGAGGTAAAACAAGGTCTTTTGGGCTCCGAGTCAGTCTAATGTGTCTGAGAGGGTATCCAGCCACACGCACGCACGCACGCACGCACGCACGCATATGGTTTTACGCTGCCTTTTGCAATATTCAAGCAATATCACAGCGAGGGACACGAAAAATTGGCTTCAAATATACTCAACAACAAAAGTTCCTGTGACACCAATATTTTAGTGTAACAAGTCAAGTTTGGTTTTCAATATTGCAGTACATGTATGGAATCAAGTCACAATTACGCATCTGCTACAGAAAAGCATGCATTCCATGCAAAAGTTGACTTTTATGCAAACCCCATGCATTTCACGACCAAATAGTGGGTATACAAACATGTGCGTTAACGGGATTCCATATGTATTGTTTAGCAACGTGCTGACAACAACCACTCAGAAAAACAACAAAATTACGCAATAATAATTCAACATGACGAAATGCCACGCATGTCCGAAAATGAGCGTCTGCGAGCCATTGGTATGCTTGAAGCAGGATCGAGTCAACGTGATCTTGCAAGACAATTTAACGTCCACAGTAACACCATTTGGGGTTTATGGCAACGTTGGCAACAGACGAATACAGTCAGAGACCATCCTCGTAACCAAAAATCGACAAGACAACTGGATTCGAATAACACATCTACGAAATTGATGCCAGCCAGCAACAGTGACTGCAAGAAGCATCCCTGGCCTTCGGCGAATATCTTCGCAAACCGTACGTCGCCGCCTCAGATGTGAAGGGGGTTGTCGTCAGAAGACCCGCCAGACGTCCCATTTTGACAGAAACCACCGTCAAGCACGTCTACACTGGTGCAGACAGCGTCTACTGCTGGACGGCCATGCAGTGGGATCAAGTTCTATTCACTGTCGAGTCTCGTTTTCATCTCAGCCACAGCGATGAACGGATTCGAGTGTACCGACACGAGTTGTTTTAAAACAAATTCATTCCAGAGCATCAGTAACTACTGCCGAACATAACATTCTCAGCCTTATTGATCTTGATTCAATGTGAGAGTAACCCCTTGACCAGGACGGCTGTGCTAGGCATTTAGAAGTTTCTTAACCAGCCAGTTAAATAAAATCAACAAAACTATTTCCATAGTCATACGAAATCTCTTCAAAAGTCTACAGTACGATTCCGACTATATCATAATCATGTATTTATGAATCACTATCAAATAGTAATGATACCAGGTGTTCGCGAAAAGGTGAGAGTTTCCTACCCCACCCTGTGGCACCCAAACACATGCATAGGCAAGTCAATTGCAAGGTTGCTTTCCATTTTGTGAATGCATCACGTGAATGAATAGTATGAGTCAGTGCAACAATATAAACTTATGCTGTTAACTTATGCTTGAATAATGTGTGTGTGTGTGTGTGTGTGTGTGTGTGTGTGTGTGTGTGTGTGTGTGTGTGTGTGCGTGCGTTAACATGGATGTATGCTCCCGTGTTTTGCTTTGTATTTTTGTTGTATAACGCGGCACCCAATTCACTCAACGGTTAGAATTGTTCTACAGCAGCCCATGTTTGTCGTAAGAGACTAACGGATCAGGTGGTCAGGCTCGCTGACTTGGTTGATGCATGTCATCATATCCCAATTGCATAGATCGATGCTCATGATGTCAATCACTGGATTGTCTGGTCCAGGCTCGATTATTTACAGACCGCCGTCATACAGATGGAATATTTGCTGAGTGCGGCGTTAAACAACAAACAAGCAAACGGTATTTTTTGTTGTTGGTCAGAGAGATACTGGCACTGTGAGGAGCAGTGGATTAATGTAGATCTTTCCTTGTTTCAAATATCCAGTAGATCTGTTTGTAAGTGCTGAAATTAATAAATAGCTATTCAAAATATCTTTCACTGTGATATACTCAAGAGAGTACTTTTTTAACCATAAAATCGTTAATCACTTTTTGACATATTTATTTCACATGATCGTAAATAGCACGAGTGAGTGAGTGAGTATGGTTTTACGCCGCTTTTAGCAGTATTCCAGCAATATCACGGCGGGGGACACCTGAAATGGGCTTCACACATTGAACCCATGTCGGGAATCGAACCCGGGTGTTCGGCGTGACGAGCGAACGCTTTAACCACAAGGCTACCCGACCGCCCCTTAAATAGCATGAGCGTTGGATTGTTGTAGACATCGTTGAAGTAAATGTCTAAGGGCGTTTAATAAGGTGGGAAATATCATTAAACACGTTTATTTGCAGAGAAAATAAATGGTACAAGTAAATATACATTACACACTGGTATTTAGATAATACATGACAATAAACACAGATTTAATGCCTAACTAGAATATATATAATTTAAACACGTGATCAGTATTTAAAAAAGAAGAAGAAATATTGGACAAATAGACAATTAAGGAAACATCGACACCAGCCTATAAGCCAAGTATGGCGCTGTTTGTGCTCAAACATTGTTGTTTGACATGTTTCTACTTCTGTCCAACATGTTCCTGACATCGGAAGTGTTTAGCATAGCTGCTACATAAGCTAACATAAAGTTGGCGCACCTCAAGATGAAACGAAACCTTCAGGGACCCATGCTTGCCGGGAAAAGCGACTTTGCATGTCGTAAGAGGCGACTAACGGGATCGGGTGGTCAGGCTCGCTGACTTGGTTAATGCATGTCATCATATCCCAATTGCGTAGGTCGATGCTCATGATGTCAATCACTGGGTTGTCTGGTCCAGATTCGATTATTTACAGACCGCTGTCATATAGCTTGAATATTGCTGAGTGCGGCGTTAAACAACAAACAAACAAACAAGCTGAAGATGAAACAAGCAAGGGTTAGTTCGACACAGCGCGTCATTATTATAACGTCATATTGTGACGCAAATATGACGTCGGATATAGGAAGGCCCCAAAGTTCAAGTACACTGTTGTACCTATCCGTCGATTTCCATCGCAACACATGCTTTGAATAACCCAACATTCTGTATAACCTATAATAATAACCTATACCTGTACATATCATTATTTCAAAATTATTTCGAGAGAAGTTATGCTTCTGAATATATGCTTTCGCTGTAATGTGATAGTCTAATCAGCTGTTTCAATCAGAGATGGTTATTGTGATTTAAAACATCTCACTGACCAATCAGAATCTAGTATTTTCCAAATTCTTCTAGAAATCCATTATGTTATTTAATGAATCAAACACAGAAGTAAATAATAAACCCGTCGCATTCTTATTGACTGGAGACTGTATGCTACAGTGTTGTATGTCACATTAACGGCACCTACAAGAGTAGGATTATAGCCACTGTAGTAGATGGTGTCTCTGTACAGTATCATGTTCCAGGGATAAGTGTCCAGTGTGGTCACCTCTGTACTCACATTATTGGACACGGTCATCTTCATCAGTTTCTTCTCATTGTTATAATACAAATCACCAGCTGTCTGATCTAGGGTTACAGCAAACATGTAAATTCCTGTGGCTAATGTTGCCAGACCTTGACCATCATATGTTACTATGAACATTGTCCCGCCACTACACCCATATATCCTCCTTCTCCTTGTGTCAAGAGTTATTTGCCTTGGAATGCCTCCGTACTTGGATAAGTCAATGATGGTAGTAAAATCTTTGCCCTGTGTAGACATACGGCTGATTGAGTATTGTGGTTTATATGTGGCTATAAATACGATGTCTCTCGCTTCATCCACTGCCAAGCCTGATGCTCGTACACCTTCTCTAAGTACTGTCACGTGACTTGTATCTAGGGTAGATGACACTATCCTATGAGGGTCGTCAAATCCTATCAGAAGTTTCTTAGTCTTTGCTGTACAGGCAACAGCTGACACCTTCTTCATGTTCAGATACTGATAGACAGTATAGGTGAGTTGCTGTGAATGTTGAGTTGAAGGAACTGATGCTGGGTGTGTGACCCGAGTGGAGCAATCAGGATCCTACTTTTCTCCACCTGTGGCCGGGGTGTCGTCACTGACGTTGTCAACAGAGGTGACCTTGGTGTCGTCACTGGCGTTGTCAACAGAGGTGACCAATGTGTCGTCACTGGCGTTGGCAACAGAGGTGACCTTGGTGTCGTCACTGGCGTTGTCAACAGAGGTGACCTAGGTGTCTTCACTGGCGCTGTCGGCAGAGGTGTCCTGGGTGTCGTCACTGGCGTTGTCAACACAGGGGTCCTGGATGTAGAGGCAACATGTTTAGTTGTTTGGGAAGAACGCACGGCAAGATTTGTTTTCAGTTGTGAGACTTGGGACTGATTCGTCTTATTAAATGCGATGAATCGTTCACTATCTCTCTTGAGATTAGCAGTATAAACATCACACTTCTGTAGTTCTATTCGCAGTCTCTGTTTTTCTCTGACACAGACGTCACTTGAGTTCTCTCGATTCCCAACATGTGCCTCTTTCAGAACAGATTCGTGGAATACGCTCGTCTCGTCCGGGAAGTCTTTGAGTGACCTTGAGACATGATGCAGCTGCCTCTTCATCTGATGGTAGCCCTGTTTTAGAGGTCGCAACTCAGTGTTAATCTGACTTTTCACCATGTCTTGAAGGGATTCCCCTTGTAGAATCTCGACCATGGCTTCTCTCACTTGATCCCGCATTTTCCCCTTTAGTTCGAAAATGGTTCGAAAGTTTGTTTGTTTACTAGATTACCAACGCATCTACCATCTGCCACGCATGTGATCAGTGTTCGCTCCACAGCCTCTCTGAAGGTGACCAGATTGTGCACAATGATAGCATCTGTAATCTGAGTTTAACTTCCTGCACATCACATTACGGACCTTGAACTGGACCTGTGTGACCTCTACCTCTGTCATACCCATATCGTCCTCTACATGAGTCATGACTATTCTAGGTTGTTGCGTAGTCCCACAAAGATTGACATGTGCTACCAGCTGCTGTACAATACATCCTAACTCTGATAATGACTGAACATCGTCCTTGGCACTAACGGCTGACTTAGTGGTAACTTTCAACCCTGGTTCCTGTGTCCTACGAGACTCCCAAATACGCCGCACAGCTGCACAGACCTAACAGTGTCAAACTTATGACTAGATGCATCTTTTAGCTCCTGCTGCAGCTGTAGAGCGTTCCAGAAAACAGAACACAGAGCACCATTTTTATATCTCCAATTACTGATACTCTGTTAAGCACTGTAGAAGCTATCAAATGAGAGAAGTCTTTTCCTGCACAGTACCAAAGATGCTATACACTTTCGGCAACAGCTCCGAGAACTTGGATGTACATGAGATTGACAATGCTAACCCTTTAAAGACTTTAAAATAGCACTTCTGACAACTACTGTAGAGTGTTCCTTACTCTCAAGCAACCTATCAACCTCATACCTCCAGTCTTCAAAACGAGATACCTTAGAAGAATGTGTAATGCTGACTGTATTGGCTAATAGGGGTAAGGGTAGGGGAGTTGCTGACTGAGAAGATATGTATTCTGCCATCGATTGTTTCAAAACCTCTGGGTAAACAGGCTTTTGTTTTACACCGTTGTCTATGTAGAAACCTCCATTTCATCAGACCTCAGATATGTTAGGTGTTACACTACACTCAAAGCGATCCAGGTATTTAGTGAAGTTTGGATGGCTTCTATGGTGGCCAATTGATTATAAATCTGCATCTGCAAGAATTTCGGGAATTGCCCAAATTGCACAACTTATGCGCCATGATAAGATTTTGTGATGCAAACGAACCATACCGAACACCCAGCTTGTGAAGCTCACACAAGCAGTATAATCGTTTCTTTATTACTGGGACTTCATGAAACTCATAGCTTGTTATCCGTGAAAATATCTATCCGTTCAAGTAGATTTAATACTGTCCCTCCAGACTTCATGGAAATGACTTTGCCTTATATGTAGATAGATATTTGCAAGTAAAATATACTGACTTTTTCAAGTTTTTCGAGTTTTAAGGTACCAATCTTGTTTAAAATTCAACTTTAATCCCGAAAGTAACACTTTCGGGCATTTCCGCATGTTCATATTACACTAAAAAGGTAGAAGAAAAGTCGGAAATCCAATATGGCCGCCAATAGACATAACGGAACAATATTTCGCCACGGAAACATGAAAGTTCATTTATTAGACAGCTTGATATTTTTAAAAAGTAAGTTAAAAAGTGCATCTTTCGGATGCATGTGACCCTATCTTCCCACTTGACTATGACTCAGTTCACAGCTTCACATTATAAGTGGATAATAGCGATCGTCAGTAAAAACTACACAAAACCAAAATAAGTGTAATTTAATTTAATTTTGTCTCTGCTCGAAACTTACTTTTGAAATATAACTGCGTGATAGCAACATTGTTTATTGTAGCTGAACATTTAACTTTAACATTTACAGTTATATACATATATACACATTACTCAACGTATATACATTTCCTCAACAATTTACAAATTTTGTGACCAATGTCACGAAAGTAATAAGTCATATTTGCAAACAAGTAACGCATCTGTGCAGCAGAAAAAAAACATCTAGATGCAGCAGAAAAAAAGTATCTGCATGCAGGAGAAAAAAGTATCTGCATGCAGCATAATAAACCTGCATGCAGCAGTAGGAAAGCATCAACAGCATGTAGTATCAGCATACGAACCAGCACTCGCACTCACTCACACATTTACGCTCCTTTCACTCAAGGTCATTGAAAAGACCCTTAGATATATGCCAGAAGCAGTACGGGTTCATTGACTAAGGTCACACCGGATGAGTGTTGCCTAGTCACAATATTCTCTGTGCTGATTGGCCGAGAGCAGGCGCCTGTTAGATCTCTCCCGTCAGTCCACCAGATGCAGCCAATCATACGGTCTGAACTATCTGACTTGCGGCACAGTCTTATATTGCACGGCATCCCTTTTTAGCGCTAACGTAGAGACTTGGACGTTTAATGGTTAATGTACAAGCCTATCACACATGTCGATGTGTTTGATAGCCACCTCAGACTCGGAAGTATCACAATGTGAACAGAACTGGAATTTGGAAATCTCCATTGAAGCTGTTTTTTTTTCATTTTCCACTCTTTGGATTTCCTAGAATATCTGAGCGCTAAATGTCCATTCTAGCCATGGCTGGTCCCTGTGCTCCGGACTTGGTGGACAGGTCAAATGCGGCCACTATAATTCTGTAAGGGAAGCATCAGCACATTAGTGGACATATGATCACTGGTACAACACAGACATTAACGCTAAATATAAGGGGTAAAACATATTTTACCGGGTTTTGTTTCTTGTCTTTTAACAATTAACATCTGGCACTCAAATTTGGAACAGTGAGTGAGGGAGTTCAGAAATGGAATCTGTGTTATTATGTATTCGAAAACAAACTGTCGATTGACTCTCACGTCCGTTTCACATTCACCAATCACCACACATATATTCAACTCCATTCATGATAATGCTGATACAACTAATCCACCGTCATCCACCTGTTCTTAAGATCCTCTACATACTCCAGTCCAAGTCACTGCACCAACCCAGATTCTTAACAAACAATTCCGACATCCACCCATGCCATTTCACATCCCTTCCACCTACATTCATCAATACTTGTAAGACCGCTTAACGGATATCCTGTCAACCACTCCAGTGATATGCACCATACTTCTTATACGACCGCTTCAATGACCACACCCTAGTTCTTATACGGCCGCTCCAGTGACATACACATATGGCTTATACGACCGCTTCAAAGACATACACTCTAGTTCTTACACGACCGCTCCAGTGACATACACCCTAGTTCTTACACGACCGCTTCAATGACCACACCCTAGTTCTTATGCGACCGCTCCAGTGACATACACCTATGACTTATACGACCGCTTCAATGGCATACACCATAGTTCTTATACGACCGCTTCAATGACCACACCCTTGTTCTTACACGTCCGCTTCAATGACTTACACTCTAGTTCTTACACGTCCGCTTCAATGACTTACACTCTAGTCTTTATACGACCACTCCATTGTCATACACTCTAGTTCTTATACGACACGTTCAATGACATACACTCTAGTTCTAATACAACCACTCCAAGGACATACACTCTAGTTCTTATACGACCACTCCAATGACATACACTGTAGTTCGTATACGACTGCTTCACTGACATACACTCTAGTTCTTACACGACCGCTTCAATGACGTACACTCTAGTTCTTATACGTCCGCTTCAATGACCTACACTCTAGTTCTCACACGACCGCTTCAATGACATACATTCTAGTTCTTATACGACCACTCCAATGACATACACTGTAGTTCGTATACGACTGCTTCACTGACATACACTCTAGTTCTTACACGACCGCTTCAATGACGTACACTCTAGTTCTTATACGTCCGCTTCAATGACCTACACTCTAGTTCTCACACGACCGCTTCAATGACATACATTCTAGTTCTTATACGACCACTCCAATGACATACACTGTAGTTCGTATACGACTGCTTCACTGACATACACTCTAGTTCTTACACGACCGCTTCAATGACGTACACTCTAGTTCTTATACGTCCGCTTCAATGACCTACACTCTAGTTCTCACACGACCGCTTCAATGACATACATTCTAGTTCTTATACGACCACTCCAATGACATACACTGTAGTTCGTATACGACTGCTTCACTGACATACACTCTAGTTCTTACACGACCGCTTCAATGACGTACACTCTAGTTCTTATACGTCCGCTTCAATGACCTACACTCTAGTTCTCACACGACCGCTTCAATGACATACATTCTAGTTCTTATACGACCACTCCAATGACATACACTGTAGTTCGTATACGACTGCTTCACTGACATACACTCTAGTTCTTACACGACCGCTTCAATGACGTACACTCTAGTTCTTATACGTCCGCTTCAATGACCTACACTCTAGTTCTCACACGACCGCTTCAATGACATACATTCTAGTTCTTATACGACCACTCCAATGACATACACTGTAGTTCGTATACGACTGCTTCACTGACATACACTCTAGTTCTTACACGACCGCTTCAATGACGTACACTCTAGTTCTTATACGTCCGCTTCAATGACCTACACTCTAGTTCTCACACGACCGCTTCAATGACATACATTCTAGTTCTTATACGACCACTCCAATGACATACACTGTAGTTCGTATACGACTGCTTCACTGACATACACTCTAGTTCTTACACGACCGCTTCAATGACGTACACTCTAGTTCTTATACGTCCGCTTCAATGACCTACACTCTAGTTCTCACACGACCGCTTCAATGACATACATTCTAGTTCTTATACGACCACTCCAATGACATACACTGTAGTTCGTATACGACTGCTTCACTGACATACACTCTAGTTCTTACACGACCGCTTCAATGACGTACACTCTAGTTCTTATACGTCCGCTTCAATGACCTACACTCTAGTTCTCACACGACCGCTTCAATGACATACATTCTAGTTCTTATACGACCACTCCAATGACATACACTGTAGTTCGTATACGACTGCTTCACTGACATACACTCTAGTTCTTACACGACCGCTTCAATGACGTACACTCTAGTTCTTATACGTCCGCTTCAATGACCTACACTCTAGTTCTCACACGACCGCTTCAATGACATACATTCTAGTTCTTATACGACCACTCCAATGACATACACTGTAGTTCGTATACGACTGCTTCACTGACATACACTCTAGTTCTTACACGACCGCTTCAATGACGTACACTCTAGTTCTTATACGTCCGCTTCAATGACCTACACTCTAGTTCTCACACGACCGCTTCAATGACATACATTCTAGTTCTTATACGACCACTCCAATGACATACACTGTAGTTCGTATACGACTGCTTCACTGACATACACTCTAGTTCTTACACGACCGCTTCAATGACGTACACTCTAGTTCTTATACGTCCGCTTCAATGACCTACACTCTAGTTCTCACACGACCGCTTCAATGACATACATTCTAGTTCTTATACGACCACTCCAATGACATACACTGTAGTTCGTATACGACTGCTTCACTGACATACACTCTAGTTCTTACACGACCGCTTCAATGACGTACACTCTAGTTCTTATACGTCCGCTTCAATGACCTACACTCTAGTTCTCACACGACCGCTTCAATGACATACATTCTAGTTCTTATACGACCACTCCAATGACATACACTGTAGTTCGTATACGACCGCTTCAATGACATACACTCTAGTTCTTACACGACCGCTTCAATGACATACACTGTAGTTCTTATACGACCACTCCAATGTCATACGCTCTAGTTCTTATACGACTGCTCCAATGACATACACTCTAGTTTATATACGACGTTCCAATGACATGCACCTTTCTTATACAACCATGGCATCCATTACCATGAATCCTTTATGGTTAATCCGGCATAAAACCATACTCGTTCGTCCATTTATAAATATGTTTATTCGATCACTCCTACATTTCGCACATACCCCAGAAACCCCAAGTAGCTTCTGGACTCACCGTCACAGAGGATATCCAGCAGCTGGTTCTGCAGTCCCTTCAGCTCATCATAGTTCTCCACCTGGAAGAAGTGTTGCTGCGAGGGGGCATCACACATCATCTTCATCTCCTTCTGTGGCATCCCATTGCCCACCTGGGCCACGTACACCTCCACCCCCCTCACCCGGGCGTGTCGGGCCTCTCTCAGCGCCTTCAGTGGCTGCTCCAGGTTCCCGTCAACAATCAGCACCGCCACTTTCTTTGCGTCGTACCGCCCGCCCTTCTTCTTGTTGAAGGACGACCGTCTCATGTCCTTTAACAGACTGGAAAAGTCTGTCCCCTTCATTTCTGATAGAGCACCGGTGTCAAGGTATGTTTAGTCTGGTATGACTAATTTACACTGTCTTACTCCGGACATTGAGCCGTGACATTTTGCGACCAGGGGTCCGCTCCACAAAGCGACCTTAGCTGTAAGTCGATCGTAATTATGTAATTCTTACATGCTTCAGTCGTAAAGCTAAGAAAATTTGTGTCGCAATATATCAAAGATCAATGTCTGCTTTAAAAGACAAAATGTCCGATAAGGAATCATAGTCAAGGGCGCCGTTTCACAAAACGATCTTAGCTCTAAGGCGGTCTTAGTTCTCATTTATTATGATTTACAAACGACAGTCATAGAGTTAAGGTCACTTCGTGGAACCAGGTACTGGGAGTATGATTCCTAGGCGAACATTGTGTCCCTTTAGAGCAGATCTAGAAATTAACGCCGGGCATTACAGTAAACTACGGTTATAACGAACTCAAAGGGACCACTAATTTTAGTTCGTTATAACCGTAGTTCGTTATAAGCATATATGCAGCATATATACAACAAATGGCCGGGACTAAAAATGTGTTCGTTATATCGGTCAGTTCGTTATAAGCGTGTTTACAGTTTACTGTACATGTAAGGCACTGGTTCCTTAGGATTAGTGGTCGCCTAGTCGCCTGGTTCTGAATGTCCTTACACACTGGACAATAGGTTTGACTGTATATAGGTATAGTAAGGTGTTGTACACCGTATATGGCTGATGTAGCGTGTTGACAATGTATATAGACAGATGAATAGGTGTGAGTAAGACGTACACTACTGCCTAGAAGTTCATTCCCCTTACACGCATGGGCAACGCGTTACGCAACCCGTGTGCACCCCGTTGGTCATCCGTGTGGAACCCGTACGCCACGCGTGTGATACCCGTGTGCAACGCGTGTCACACTCATTAGAGGGGGAACAAACTTTTGACCAAAGGAGGACCCATGGGCATGTCTACCTGAACCTGGACTTGGTAACAAGGAGATGACTATTTGATTTCCTGACGAAAAATGTTAATACACATTTTATTATATGTACTTGCTGATGTTTCCTTTTTAGATGTGATTACATGGTGTCTTGCGATGGTGTTAAGAGAATACATGATCCTGTTACATGTTATTGCTATTCAAATGCTTTTTTTGTGATTTGACATTAAGCGTCTGTAGTACGACTTTCAGTGATCATGTTTATGAGGTTTGGTGGGGCATTGTTTTTATTGGACCCTAATTACTTTATGATGGTTGGGCCTCTTCGTCTCAGCTCCATAGCCGTGACGCTGGGAAAGGGCAGCATTTAATTAATGAGAGTAGAATATATCCTGGAGGATACACTTGAGGGAGAGGGTTCTACTAATTACCGTACCACAGGAAGAGACCTGTAGACGTGAGCACGGGGTTGTGTGTAAGATGGCCGTCGCATAATGGCCGCCAGGAGTGGTAAACATTGAGCTAAAGCAGTGTTGTTTTCACGGGCCTGTTGAATAAATTTCCAGCGCTGCTGTCCATATATCTTCTACTTGATCCTGGATACATCATTTTGGCATTTACATTATAATATTTTTCAACGTACATTAATGGTTTACTAGTCATAGATTTTAGAGTATTTGTCAATTGTGGTGAACGTACAAGCAATAATTGTAATTTGTGGTGACATCTAAATTTAAACGTCTCATTTAAAACAATAAGTAAGTACGATAGTAAATAATAATATTCAAATCGCATTAAACTACAATGAGACATCATCTGAATATGACTATATATGCAAATGTTACGAAACTGTACCTATCTTCACGAATTATTAAAAAATGGGCATAAAGTTCACGGAGACGAAGGCTATATATACAATACCATATTTTATTTTTTAGATGATAAAGTACATCATTTGATAATGAATTCAGTTATTGATATCTAAAAACCGATTTTCCATATTAATAAACATTTCATGATAACAAACAATCAAATGTGTGATATAAATTCATTCTTTAGTATCCATAAATGAATTATTGATATCATATAACGAATAAATAGTAAAAAGGCGCCCTATATATTGTTCTTTGTGGACTGTATTAAGTAACGCATTTGCATCACGGTTATAATGTTAATTGCTAGTCTTTTTTCTGCACCATCATTTCTTTCATCTTATGAAAAAATGTTTACAAAATGGCAACTTATAATTAACTTATATATAGCACTGGTATAAATAAATAGTACACACACTAATTTAATGTCACAACTGGCCTCACTCTGTCACATACAGCACTAAAACTACTATATTTCAAGTCTCTTAACCAAGTTTGAGAAGATGACCAACAGCATCAAGGAACTCGATAGGGGTTTCCTGTCCTTGAGTCAACATGTCCTTAAGACGTCTCAGGCGATTTTCAGTCTCTCTGTAAACTCGCTTCCTGCTGGGTGGGGCGGCACCAAAGTCTAACTGTGTTTGTCCTGTCTGCACACTCAATCTTCTTAATCACTTCTACAAATCGGTAGATATTCGGGTGGCGGTGGTGTAAGGTTCTGTTAAGGCCATGGTGAAATCCCTCAAGATTGTTGTTGGTGCGAGGGCCAGCTGTCTGGTGGTGATTCAAGAGAGGTATTTGAAACCGAGCATCATCGTCAATTGATGACCATATAGTTGATGACCATATAGTCATTGAAGTCTTCAGTTCTCGGAACTGGTGGAGTTGCCTGCTTAGCATCCAACCAGGTGTCCTGGACATCACGCAAGGGCAGGAGGGCAAGTCCAGCAGCTCTTCTGATCCAGGATCTTCCTTGTACTGTACTGCTAATCCAAGATCCTGTGTCTTCCGCCAGATCGCCTGACAATAATGAAAAAAACAACCTTTGACGTCGGCATTCGGGAACTCTGTGTTGACGGCACGAATGGCAGCCTTCTCAAAATCCGTCTGGACGGTGGCAGGAGCGAGGGGACGGTTGAATCTCTGTTGGACTTCTGTTTTGAGTCGGCTGAACAGTCTGGTGTAAGTTGTGGTCTGTCTGTCAGGCAGGAGGGCGAAGACAAGTGGGCACATACAGGAACGACTTCTTGCATGTATGATGTATACCTGGTTCCACAGATCTGGGCAAGATGTAAATGTTCCGTCCATGTATACAGTGTCTGCAGACTGCAAAGCTTGGAGTTGGTCATGGGTAGAAAATACAACAATCTTGTTGGCATCGCAATCAGTGAAAAGCAGGAATGGGCGGCTGTCTGTTGTTTCAGTCCAGTTTCCTTCAAGTTGGACTTCAGCTCTTGTCTGTGAGAGTGCTGGGTTTTTCTTCCGCCTGTGTCGGTACAAGGCACAGCTCATGGATGGGAACGATGGCAGCAGCTGTGGCTGGTCTTCTGTAGCTACCTCACCGTTGTACAGGGTACGCATCGACATGGTTTCTTCTCTGGCCCTCTTCCTCATGGTACTGATGAATCTTACTCTACTGCTGAGACATTTCTGATGAAGTCACCTACAGTGGTGCATCTGCCCTTACAAGTGGAGTCTACACACTTCCAGTGAATGCATGTCTGTCTGACAACATTCTTGTTATAACGATAGCCATCTAGGAATACCTGCACAGTACCCTTCTGTGACATGACATACTCCACTTTCCTGATACCAGCCATAGTGATAAAATGTCATCTGACTGATTTATAGGTTTACGTCCGCTTCGCATTTATTGCATTTCGCGGACGGGGTAGGTTTTGGGAAGTAAAGATAAATAGATTAAATATGAAAATCACCATACCCAAAAAACTGTAACTAGCCGGGGAGTAACCTAAATTATCCTAATGACTGTACTTCGAGAGTATTATTATGGGTGTTATTCTTGGGAGGAGACGTGGTTTGGTGGCGTGCGGTGTGGGCTTGTTGTTGGCGCCGGCTGGCTTAACGACTCTATTGAGTTAGTGTATGGTTAACTCGGGTTATAGGCACGGACGTCGGAGAGGGCGACTCGTGTTGGAAATTTCGATCCCGATCCGAAAGTTGGGGTGTTTGTTTACTAGGGCATAGTTATGTTGTATAGACTTGGCTTGGACTCCCGCCCGGTGCTCTCTTGGTTTGTCTACACCATGTCAAAAATGGATATATCCATCAATAAGTCACTCCCCCGGGACATAGTAGGAGTCATCCTTCCACTACTCAACTATAGGGTCTCCTACTTTGCCCTCCACGCCGATATGGCGGCCGCCACCAAAACTATTAATATAACTTTTAACATGAATCAACCAAAAAGACCCAGACCCCAACCCCCCTCAACTGGACTTTACCCTGACCCTGTCCAAATCCCAGCCCAACAGCCATTCAGCCCCCAAGCCCAAGCGGCAAGTCAGGACACTTACCATGTAACCATGGAAACCGCTCCAACCCTCATACCCGCGTCTAATAACAACCCTTTTACTAGCCCAAATCTACCCTGTCACAACAGTCCCCCCTCTCCAACTCACCCTCCATTCAGGAGAAAAAAAGGAAACGAGTCAGCACCCCTTCCCACCCATCCCTTATCGATCACGCCACTCAAACTAAGCAAAGTTCTCCTATCCCAATCCTCAGTTTAGACAATGCTACCCAAACCCTTGAAATCACAACATCCCCTTCCCCCCCGCCCCCGCCTAAAACTTCTACTAAGGATGCCCACACTTCCCCTAGGGGACCCCCAGCTCTCACTGAAACTTCCACCCAGACCGACCCAGTCAAACAAAATACCTACACAGAACACCAGCTCACCACGGATCTCTCCCAAAATGCTGAAAAAATTCTATCTGACCACTATCTCCTACCCTCTCTATTAACACTACAAGCCCCTGGCATACGCGTTTATAAAAGCTCACAAGAACACCCCAATTTCACTATGATTCAATATTTAGACCAGGAGCGCTTTGAACATCAAATTCTCAATATTCAGGATCTAAATTCTTTTCTAACAGATATACAGGACCAGGGCATACAACTCACCTCTCAATTCATTAAAAACAGCGCAGCCCATTTCATTAAAAAGTCCTACCACCCTCTCTCAACCAAGGACTACAGCTGGGCAAAACATCTGCTCAAAGGCCTACTCGTTCCCGACACTTAGACCTTCTCGTTCACCAAGTCCGCTACCACGTCCTAACCTCCACCCACTAATAACCATATGGCCAAACTCCCATATATTATTGTTTAGACCCTCCCAAATAAAACTAAAAAACAGTCTCCAAAGGTAAACAAACTTCTACAATTCGGATCGGGATCGAAATTTCCAGCGCGGGCTGTCTACTACGACGTCCGCGCGATCAAACCCTTTAACCAGCCTACACAAGCTCATCACCAGTTATCCATACAACCCTGATACCCAAGCCCAGCGAGATGCACAACACCGACCAAGTTCCTCCACCACCCCCTCCCCTACCCCAGCCAATCTAGACTTACCTTAGGCCTTAACCCATTTTTCTTTACTTAATATAACCCCCTATTTCTAAATTACAGCTTAACTGTAACTTGTATCACCATATGCTTTACACTAACTAGGATTACTATAGCTGATAGGTTAAACTCTATCTCTTTCCCCCCACTCTTAATAGGTTTTTCTCCCCTCCCTTTATAGTTTTTTGGGAATGGTGGTTATCTCTATTATTATATTATTCATCATTTCTTCCCCACCTTCCCCGACTGCGAAATAGCCTAAGACTGAAGCGGTCGATAAACCCCCTAATACTACTACTGGACTCCCGCCCTGCGCACACGTCCTCCCAAGCTCTCCAAACTACCAAGCTGACAATGAGAGACCTCTCTATGTCATTACCGAGGGAGCTAGTCTCCATCCTGGAGCCCTTGCTGGCCTACCGGGTTGGGGACTACTCCCTCAGGACTTCCTACAAGTCCAACACCTCTACGCTCTCCATCTCCTTCGACCTTGGTCAAAGGAAGAGACCGCTGGTCAAAGCCCCGGCTAAGACCAAGCCTCAGGTGGCCCGCGCCCCAGCCCCTAAACCTCCTGCTCCCCGCCCGGCGCAGAAGAAGGGGCCCCCACGGGTAAAGAAGATCCCTCCTCCAGTCCTCGACATGGAGATAGAGACTTCTCTCCCTACCACCCCGCCACCCCCGGTAGCTGCGTTGGACCTCCTTCCCCTCGAATCCAGAGGGGAGGAGCCCTTCCGCTCACCCGAGGGCACCGGCCACGGGAAAAAGAAGAGGAAGAGGAGAGAAATCCCCTCACCCGAACCTGCCTCCCGTCCATCTCCCACCAGTGTGTCCACGGAATGCCAGACCCAGTCGCCCTCCCTGAGCGACAGCTGCATCCAGACCAGTCAACCAGAGCCCCCCTCTCTTAGTGACCCAGACCACCCCGGTCCAGGTCCAGGATTCCAGCCTTAGAGCCGTACTACTTGAGAAGGCTCACAACATCATCAGGCATTACAAGGCCCCCGGCACGCCGGATGCAACCCACATCTGCAGCAACGGACAAGAGCTCTCCACCTCAACCAACGCCACCGACGCCCCCCTCAGGCTGGTCCAGATGATAGGCGCGGAGTGTTTCGATCACGAGATCTTCAACTATCAAGATCTCTCCCACTTCCTCATGGACTGCGACGTCAAGGCCAACAAGCACTTCGTCGCCCACTCCGCCGCCATCCTCACCAAGAACCTCTTCAAGTCGCCCAACCCAAAGGATGAGGCCCTAGCGAAGAGACTCCTGGGAGGTTCTCGTCGCTAAGCACCATGCTCGCCCGCCAACGCCGTGCCTTCCCACGCTTGATCCCCTCCCCTCCAACCCACGCCCAACTTTTTCCATATTATTGAGTACTTTTTTACCACCCACTCCCACCCAGCCAAACCCCACCCCCTGCAGTTTTATTAGATTAGTACAGTAAAAGTTACATTTTTGGGGGTCGAACTTCTTATTTATTCATTACGTTTTTTTTTCTCCCAATAGTATAAAGTGCTTCCCCGTGTGCGAAATACGCTATTAGTCGGAAAGCGCACGTTAAATCTCCTAGTGACTCACTCACTCACGTATAGATTTGTTTGGGAGGTTCTAAATTCGGTGTATAAGGTCGGCTTTGATGATGAATTGCGTTATTGCATTGAAGATGTAGATAGGGTTGGAAGGGTTGAAAAGTAGTGTGAGGTTTTGTTTATAGTTAGGAGGGATAGCGTGATAAAGTTCGGAGTGAAGGTTGTTATAGAAAGGACAGCTGTTAAAAATATGATATAAGTCTTCTGGTTGATTACAATATGTACATTTCCCGTCCGGGTGTCTGCCTTGTTTGTGTAGATTGTGGTTGAGGTTGTTATTTCCGCTGATGATTCTTGATATAATATTGTCCAAATGGTTAGAGCTGTTATAGTTGCGACATTTGAGATTGTATTGCGTAAAAAGTGTTTTGAGCCATTGCGAGTTAGTGTTTTGGATTATATTGTTGTAGTTTTGAAGTTTTATAGACTTTTTAAATTTGTTCTTGATCTCCGCTTTGGAGGTATGGAAATAGATTTCTAATGAGGGCTGTTGGGTGGCTATATTGGCTGCGATGTGTGCTGTGTTATTGCCTGGTATATTTGTGTGTCCCGGGGCCCAGAGTAGACTGATTTGTTTGTTGTTGTTGTTAAGTTGGTTGATGAGAGTAATAATGTTGTTGATGTTAGTGAGTCTGGTAGTGAGTCTGATATTATTAGAAATTTTTGTTTTGATAGCGTGTATTGCTGTAAGGATATGGCTAATAGTTCCCCTGTGTTATTGTTAGTGAAGTTTTTATAGTGAAAGTTTGTGGTGACGGGGGGGTTGTTGGTCTATGCGTATTCCTAGTCCTGTTTTTCCATTGGTTTGGGATGCGTCGGTGTAAATGTAAGTGTGTGTCGGACAGTTATTGTGGAGGTGTCTAAGGGTTGCTTCGGCCTTTTTTGCAGTTTGGGTGCCGGGGCTTTGTATGAAAAGTTCGTGGAGCGTTGTGTCAACTGGGGGGGATGGGAGGTCGGCTATGTATTGTAGGGAGGGGTGTGTGTGTGATATATTGCTTAGATTGTGGGTGTGTATTAGCTTGTGTAGGTGGGTCATGTGTGGGGCTTGGTCAGGGGATTTATTGAATTTGAATGCCGTTTGTTTGTTAATGTTGTTATATTTTTGTTTGAGTATTTTAAAGATTGGATTGTGTTGTGCCCCAGCCCTGTAGTTGAGGATTGTCTGTTGTATTCTGTGTGTAATGGAGAGAGTGTTGGTCATGAGTATGGCGTGGTGTGACGTACCAGTCCTGGTGCCGGTAGCTATTTTGAGGGCCTTGTATTGAATTGATTTTATTTTGTTGTAGTTAGTAGTTGAAATGCCGCTTAGGACCTGAGCGGCGTAGTCGATTTTGGATTGAATAAGTGTTTTGTAGATGTTGAGGAGGGTTTGTTTGTCAGACCCCCAATTGTTACCTTTAATAGCTCTCATTAAGTTTAAATCT